ATCAATATTAAAATCACAATTAATATTTTTTGTCTAAACTCGTATAACATTAATTAATACAAAGCTAAAAAGATACAGTTTCAGTTTTTAACAAAATTCAACAAATTTTTTTAAAATAAAAACAGATTTATTGCATTGATAATAAAAAATTACTGTATAGACCTTTCTAGCACAACAATCACACAAATGTAGAGCCATGAGAGAAAAAGTATCACCCATTTAAAAACACCAGTGTGGTAAAACTAAATAAAAAAATCTTTACAGCAAGTAAAAAAGAAAAATCGTTGGCAAGACAGTAACCTCTTATTGACATTAGTGATAGATAAGAGAAATTTCTTCCTTGATAAAATTATTATTTTATTATTATTATTATTTATTTACCACATATTTAAAAAAAATATTTTGATGCAGAAGGAAAACTATTTACAATTTTACCACACTGTACATCTTTAAAGTTAACTAACTTTATGATTCATACCATGCAAAAATATTTTAATGTTTTTTTTTTACATACAGGTGTCCCAGCGAGTTGAAATAAACGTTCCTTAGTGACCTTTAAATGGTAAAATGAAAAAAAAAATATGTAGGACATTGATAGATACTAATTTATCCATCGCCTAAAATTATTTTCAACTATATAGCGTGTCTCAAAAATAAGTTACAATACAAACTAGTGTTTTTTAAAATGAAACACCATATGTTTCTTAGCGTTTTTAGATGTAGATTTTTATTACAATGTTTTTAAGCTGAACTTTTATTGGTCGATTTTGCTTAGTTTTAAAAATTAGAGGGTTTTTTTGACGAAAACATTCACTTTAAAAAAAAAGATCTACTACCCCAAAGAAGACGGTACAAACTATAAGGTTGTAACATTTTTTTAGTGTGTTGCATTTGCAAAGATAAAAAATTAAGGCGTTTGTTAAAAGTTCATTAACTTAAAAAAACTAAATAGAACACCCTATTTATTGTTTCTGCATTTAAAAAAACACCAAAAAAATGCTACAGCTTTAAATTCTATACTTTCTTCATTACAGAAGTAAGAAAAAAATTGTACTAGCTGTCTTAGTTTTTGTGTAATAAGTGCATGTTTTAGTCAAAAAAACGTCTTATTTCTAAAACTAAGCAAAATCGACTAATAAAAGTTTAGCCTAAACACATTATTTTAAAAGGCTGCATCCAAAAATGCCAAGAAACATACTGTGTTTCATTTAAAAACACACAAGTTTGTATCGTAACTTAATTTTGGGACATCCTGTATGCTTGAAAATAATTTAGGTGATGCACTAGATTAGTATCTATTAATGACATATACAATTTTTTTTTAAATTTCACCATTTAAAGGTCACTAATGGAATTTTTCAACTCGCTGGGACAGCCTGTATAATAATTATGAAAATTCAGCAAAACAATAGTAAATCTTAATAATAATTTATTAACAAGAGTTTCTAGATTTTCTTATTGGTAGAATTGAATTATTTAGTGCTAGATTCTTGCCAAATTGGACTAGCCAAAACCATAAATATAGTAAGTACTATTATTAAACTTTTATTTCTATTATGATTTTTCACATGGTATGATTAAAAATTTAAAAAATCCACACTGAATTAAAACTTACAGTTTCATTACCAGCAGCAGTGACTAATTCTTGTAAAGCACGTACCGACAATGCCTGTTCTATAACGAACACACATTGTGAAAGATCTGGTGGTATATTCTATCAAAAAAAAATGTAAAAAATTATTTTTATAACGTGTTAAATTTCTACCTTATCTGCGATATTTTCTAAAAAGCAATGCCGATTACCGAAACCCTCAGCAGCCAAACAAACACGCTCCCCTGTCGCAGTACAGGAAAGACAAACCATATCTTCCTAAAATTCCCAAAAACATTCAACAATTGTTTATTGTTATAACCTCGAAAGACTTACCGTTCGCAAGAATGAAACATCATCCTGTTCGGACCCCCCTTCGGCCTCGGCCATTCTGGGGGCTTATTTTTTCCTAAAGACATCAATTGTGCAATTATTGTCTCTAATCTGGCGCATAATTATTTAAAATTAACACAAATGCAGCAAAAAGTTCAGACAACATGAGCAACACGAGGCCAAATGTCCCTGACTGCGGCCCAAATATCGATTTAATTATCTGCATGATATGAATCTCACACATTTCAAAGTTTCAAAGTTGAAAAATTCAATACCCACCTTTTTTACCGATAATTTTTCGACATGAATACGGTCCACACACAGCAGGAAATTTCGTAAAGTAGCACTGTGAAAAATGTCTATATTTAACTATAGCTGTGTGAATATTTTTAGACAAGGAGCTAAAATAAATTTAGACATTCTTACTTGCGGTAATAATTTTACGAGGTAATGTGTACCACTTTTATTTACAAAATACAGAAATTACAAAAAAGTAACAAGACCAAGTGAAATAAACAGATTAGTTGACAATAAATAATTTACAATACACTGATTAATAACTCGATACGTCTTGGTCATAAATTACAACAAATCAAACTTAAAAATAAATAACTATTTGGTATTTTCTCACATATTTAAGAATTTACACTATGTACAATATAACATTCATAATTACATAAGTAGTAATCAAGGAAATAATAATTAACACAGCCAAAACATGCTGTTGACTATACATTATTTTAATATAGAAATAAACTAGACTTTATACAGGGCGTCCCAAGTTTTAGGGCCAGCGCAAAAATTAATATTTCTAATTGATTAAAAAAAAATTGATAGTGTAAACGATAGAGGATTAAATACACTTTAATTTGATGTTTTGATATTGTACAAAGTTTTTAAATTTAGAGAAAATAAATCAATTAACTGGAATATTTTCTACATGATAAAATTCTTTGATTTTTTCTGCGGTATTTGTAAAAACAGAATAATGAAATGATGTTTTGAATAATTAACATTTTAATATTAATAAATTTTCAATATTAAAATATTAATTACTCAAAATCTATTCAATTTTCTTACAAAAACTCAAGGAATTTTATCATGTAGAAAATATTCCAAATAATTATTTTTTCCAAATTTGGTTTTTAGGGTCTCACTGACATACGCTAAAAATTTTGTACAATATCACAACATCAAATTAAAGTCTATTTAATCCTCTATCGTTTACACTATCAAAATGTTTTTTAATCAATTAGAAATATTTATTTTTGCGCCGGCTCTAAAGCTTGAGACACCCTGTACATAAATTCTTGCGATTTGATTTGTTTAGCCAAGAGTATTGCACGTGTGCACAATTACCGTTTTAATAAAATACTCTAGTTTGCAAAAATATCATTTTACGCACAAATCAATTTGTATAAATAAAACTAGTTAGTGCGAAATTCCAAACATTCCACAAAAATCATATTCGTAAACAAATATAGATTTTGATTTTTCCTCTATGTTAATTCATAAAAATAGAATGTACTTTTTGTAAATCTCCTAAATTGAGTATCTAAAATATTTTAAACACCATGCATAAATCGTCTAGAGAAATATGTTTGAGGTATGTCAAGTTAATTCTAAAACATCACGATTTTTGTATGCCATTTCTTTACTTAACTCTACTCTACCAATAAGTTAAGTTTATCTAAACGAAGCGAAAATTCAATCCTGAAAAAAAAAAACACTTTATTCACTAGTGAATAAAACTGATTTACTTACTAGTAACTAGCCTCGTGTCCTGCCAAAATATACAGGTCATGGCCCTCCTCATTTGTTAGTGTTCCAGTACGAATCAAGTTGCTTTCAAGCATGACAACCCTAAAATTTGATAATTTTAAAAGTGAACACAATTACTAAGGCTCGGATTATATGCAAAATGCAAATTTATTATTAAGAGATATATCAACAAAATTCAAAGTTTTCTATGCATATCTAATGTTTTTGATTAAAATAAGCCAATTAAAAATGCATATTTGCATATTTTGGCAACTTCGTGCATATTTTAGAAAATAATGCATATTTGTGCATCTTTTCTTCAAATCACAAATTTCTGATTAAAAATTTCAGTTCATGTTAAAAATTGGCCAGTTTAAGAAAAATGATCCGATTACAAAATATATTAAAAGGAAAACAACCAGTAATTCATAAACCGGACTCAAAGAATTAGTATCCTACTGAGTGTTTCCCATTTTTTAATTCGTTTTATACAGGGTGAATATGAAGTTTAGAACCAAACGGTTTTTTTTTAACTACTTGCCTCTGGAAAATAATAATTAATATAAAATAAAATAATATAAAACGAAATTTTGTTTTGCTTTGAGTTATGCGATTTTTTTTGTCAAAATTGTAATTTATGTATTTTTTTTTAATTAATAAAAAGTAGATAGTCTCTAACACAGTTGTGTTTGGCAGAGTATACAAAAGATTTTTTTAGTGGGTTGCCACTTAAAAAAAAAATTTTTTTGTAGAACTCAAAAACAAAAAGAAAAAATTCGAAAAATTTTATTCTTGATAAAACATTTAATTCATCAATTAGTTTAAAAAAAGATAAATAGTTTAAGCAAAAAATGTTTGGTTCCATACTTTTTATTCACCTGGTATAAAACGAATAAATCCTTCTATGTGGATAAGTATAGTAAAATCGCATAAGACCTACTAAAAATTTTATTACTTTTAAGTTAAATGCGGTTTTGTTAAGCGTAAACCAGAGGGTAAACAAATCATAAATCAGTGGAACCCACCCGGACCCAGAAACCAAGGAAACAGGTCAGTTTTTAACAGGGCCGGATTACTTACTTTCTTTTTGTCTAAAATACTTGAAATATTTTAATAGTTTTTGATATAGTTGTTATTAAAGTCAAGTATTTTTAGAAATTTAAAAAAGCCAGGTGGTCATTAACAAACTATTATTAAATAAAGCTGATTTTTTTTAATAATAGCTTGGTAAAACTCTACCACTACTTTGGTTTTAAATACGATCATCATCAAATGTCGAAATTTTTAATCAGGGGCGTACGAAACTGAGGGAGTTTAAGGTAAAAAAATACCCTATTTATTTTGGCTTTAGTTTCTCGGTACTTTCAGCAACAAAATCTTAAGTTCGATAGTTTATCACAGAAAAGTCTCTCTTGTGTCGATACGACGTATTGTTTTTGAATAAAATTAATTTAAAATTTATGTTACACACCAATACAACATTCAAATAAATCAGAATTTACAGAATAATAAAAGCAAGAAATTCATATTTTTTAATCAACCTCAACTAATTAACATTACATTACAGTAATAATAATAACATTAATTAAATGAATTTGCCTAAATCTAAAGGAGTTGTTCAAAGTGACCACCATTTTGGTCAATGCATAACTAAAGAAACTAAAGCCAAAATAAATAGGGCATTTTTTACCCTAAACCCCACCAGTTTCGGACGCCCCTTATTAAAAATTTCGACATTTGATGTTTGAATTCGTTTAGGTGTATAAAGGTTATCATCTGTACCAAATTTTGTAATTTTATCTTAAATGGTTTCTGAAATATTAGCAAAAACCTATTAGCCCCCTTTCAGGGGGTGTAGCTCCCTTACCAAGCATTTTTCGATACATGTTTATAGGAAACTTTTGTCTTAAAATTCAATATTCTATCACCTGTTTAAATTTGTAACAATAAAAACGGAACACCCTGTATATATGCGCATATTTTACGGATTTTTCGTGCATATAATCCGAGCCTTAACAATTACATATCATACTTATCAGCGCCCAAGAGTTTATAAGTTCTTGACGTATCGGTGATTTCTTGCGTGATTTCACCATTTTTGAACGACCTTCCTTGCATCCCATGTTTGTGAAAAGCCAAAACACTGTCTGGAAGACTGACTAAAAACGCAATACCAATATTATAGGGCCAAAAATTGGGGAATTAGACTCACTTATGTTCTCAATATTGAAATGAAACTTCAATTCTGACAGTTGCTTCTTGTTAATTTTAAGATTCCCTTGCGGTGTTATAATTTTAACAACGTTATCGTAACAAATTAAAATCGAATCTTTATCTAACTGTGTAACATTGACTATATTTAAATTTTCGCGTTTTGGTATTACTGTAGCGGTCCCATCCATGTCCTGAAGCTCATCAGAGTGGAACCAACTCGCACCTGAATTCATGTTGATGAGGTCCAGTTTAAATCGATTCGGTTGGTATGCCTGTTTTATTGACACACACACCATTGGATACTCCAATTCCGGTGTGATAATCATTTCAAACACGTTTAACGGATTTGGTAAAACACATTCGACATGCTACAATTTAATCTTTAATTTCGTTCATTAAAATTCTCTTGGCTCACCTTCAAGAGCATAAATTTGTTAAGGGGGTCATACCACTGCATGAGAAAAATCCCGCTAGTGGAGGCCCCGCAGAGGTATTTATACCCATTGTAGGGGTTCCTCGCCACACAGCACTTCTGAGTCCCTCTGGTGTCAGGTACACGAGTAGTCAATGCGAATTTTCGAGGTACAAGTCGCTCATGAATCCGATTCATGTGTAGACTGAATCGGTGCGATTGCTTGCTTAGGAGAGCTACCAGATCGTGACGATACAAATGTGGTGTTTTGCCTTAAAAATCAAATTTTTTTTTGTGTTACAAAAAAATTTTAAAAATTATTTTTTTACCAGAGAGTGTCATGAGGACGTCTTTAATTACGTACATCCACACCGTTCTTCTGTTGTACAATTGATCAATGCAAGTTTCATGAAGTTCGTTTAAGTTAAGGTTGTAGACTCCTTCTTCGGCCCCTATTAACAAGTGTTGGTCTCTTGTCTCGGGATGTATCCACGAAACTGTGCAATGGATTCGCAAAGGACAGCCGTTAAACACCTAAAATATTTTTCAGTCAAGAAATAAAAAATTAAACCAAAGGCTATGTACACGTGTCACAAGTTTTAGGGTCGGCGCAATTAATTAAAAAAAGAATTTTGGTAGTGTAGACGATAGTGGATTAAATACATTTTAATTTGATGGTTTGATATAGTACAAAATTTTTAGCAGTGAGACCTTAAAAATTACATTTGGATAAAACAAAATTCAGTTAACTGGAATATTTTCTACATGATAAAATTGTTTGATTTTTTCTGTGGTACTTATTTGTAAAAATAAAATAATGATAAAGTTGATAGATTTTGAATAATTAACATTTTAATATTGAAAATCTAAAACTTCTTGACAAAAGAAAAATGTCTGCAATGACATTTATGACATATCCGGGGTCTATTGTGAAGCTTTCGCTCTATTTTCAATGCATTAGCAGCACATCATTCTAAACTTGGCCATAAATTAGCAGAATTTCCAATTTTCAATTTTAAAATATTAATTTCTCAAAATCAACTTGTATATTACTCAATTTTCACAGTTAATATTAAAAAAAATCAAGGAATTTTATCATGTAGAAAATATTCCAATTAATTAAAAAAAAATTCAAATTTATTTTTTGAGGCTCACTGACATACGGTAAAAATTTTGAACAATATTAAAGCTTCAAATTGAAGTCTATATAATCCTCTATCGTTTGCACTAGCAAATTTTTCTTTAATCAACTAAAAATACTTATTTTTGCGCCAGCTCTAAAACTTGACACACCCTGTACATTATGTTATTTTCTGAAGTCGTAATTCCTTAAATTATGTAAAAATTTGATAATCATGCAATCAACGGACTATCTTATCAACTTTACGGTTTTCATTTAATAAAATTAATGACATATAAGTCCGGAAAAGTACTACTTTAGAGACTATTTTGGGTTAACGCTCATTTTTTTTTGTTAAAACACATTTTCTTCGCATTTAATTCTCGCATATATCTTTCCACACCTTTCCCGAGTCAAATAAAGGCCAATCGATAAAAATTTGATTTTTAGGGTCTCATTGACATACGTTAAAAATACTGAACAATATTAAGGCATTAAATTAAAGCCTATATAATCCTCAGCCACAAAACTTGGGACACCCTGTATAAGAGTGTTTAATTCGTTGTTTGCTCTTTCCATTATAAGAATTTAAAAAAATAATTCAAATTCTATTAGAGAAGAAAACGAGTGCAATTTACTTTTACAATAATTTTAACAGAAAACTTGAACCTTTTGTATTATACGAATTTATTTATTTTTTCTAGAATAAATGCACTTTTATTTTCATTTTAATTAATAAAAATCTATCTAAAAATTTATCAATTTTATTTAAAAAAAAATCGGAGTAAATTCTTTATTCTATTAAAATCGAGCAATTCTGACAATAAAACACAAAAATAAAAAAATTTCATGATTCTTGCGCAGAATTCCTAATTTTTTTCAATTTTTTTGATGTAAATTATTGCGAATTTCATACATGTAAAACATTTAATTTTCCTCTTTGAATGTATTTTTTTTATTTTTTATTTCTCACGTCGAATATAGACGACATTTCACTTGGAGTAACTCCGACATGATTGCAATTTCTTCCTTATTTTATCCATATTTGGTATAAACATGACACAGATTTTAATTAAATAAAAATATTTCTTTCTGGAAATAACTATACTGCTCCAAAAAATTAAAGAAACAAAATTCAAGAAATTATTCAAAAAAAATTCAAGAGGCTATTCAGCCTTCAAATACCCTAATTTTACTCTCAAAATAATTGCATTAATTAAAAGTTGACACCTCCCAGGAGTATTTCATGCAAATTAAACAATTTTTTTGAAATTTTTTTCAATTTTTGTTCAATTTTTGTTGTTTGTTGTTGTTCTTCAATATTGTTATTTTTCCATTTTTTTGAAGATTTCACAATGTTCAGGAACAACACACTTTCTTTAACTCTTTTGAAAGACTTTTCATTAAAAGTCAGCGACAAATTGACGTAAAAAGAAAATAAAAAAAATAAATTGAAGTTAAATATACTATCCGGCCCATGCATTGATTTAACTAAAACAAATTCCCCAAGTCCGTAGAGCAAAAACAAAATTTACAAAAAATTTTTGTCGGACTATTTCCTAGTCTCTATTTACCTTTAAAGAAACACTACAAACATCAAGAAACTCTTCAAGTCTAAATTTGCGGCTAAAAACAATGAAATAAATGTACATGTAATGGATATACGCCAGCTTTCAGGGGGTCTGGAGTCTTAAGATTGCGGTGATAATCGTAGCTCAGAAAATTTTTTGCCAAAACATTGCAAAACTAGAAACTTGAAGCTTCAAATATTTTTTTAATCATTGAGATACAGCCTTTCAAAAATCATCAGAAATTCAAACATTTTTCTGTTCTCTTATTTCTTTTTTTTTGTGACAGCTTTATTATTTTTAGGAGAAACACTAAAAACATAATAATAAAAAAACAAAAACTGTGTAATTGTTTAAATGTTATCGGTAGTAATATCCCGAGTGCATTGATTAATTATAATTTTGTTTCGTGAAATTAACAAGATTGTCGACAATTTATGAGAAATTAAAAAAAAAGTTCTAATTCTATTAGAGAAGTGCAATTTACTTTTACAATAATTTTAACAGAAAACTTGGACCTTTTGTATTATACGAATTTATTTATTTTAGAATAAATGCACTTTTATTTTTATTTTAGTTAATAAAAATCCATCTAAAAATTTATCAGTTTTATTCAAAAATTAGAAATTTTTTCTCTTAATGCTTTACACACACGTAACATTCAACAAAATTCCAATTTATTTTTTTTTTGTCAGCTTAAAGCAATAAAATTCCACGCAACGTGTTTTTTTAGAGAAAATCTACTGTTTAAAGAAAACGAGTGGAAAAGAGGCGATTTAATTTGTTAAAAACCACAAAGTGTTTTAATTAATTATTACCTTGGAAAAGCAGGCCCCCATGTGGACTTTGGGGGTGGGAGGCAAACCATTACTCGGGGGCCTCGGCGGAGTATGTCTTCGTCGATGTTTCCTTGGGGGTACTGGGGGACAAGCAACTAAATCCGGAGCATTGGAATCATGATTATTTGTCTCAGTCTCAGTCGTCCCTAAATTAATAATAATAATAAAATTTTAAAACACTAAAATTTCCTACCATTGACATTTCTATCCGTTCTACCACTATCACTTAACGATCTCTGCCGTTGACCGTTAATATTCATAGCGTTTAACGGCGAAAATAATTCATCTACTGAGGAATGTCGTCGCGGTGAGCTATTTACTAAAGACTCGCTTGTAGGACTAGAAATGTGGTGCACATCACATTTAACACTAACTTCGGAATCTTGCACTGGAAGTGTGGCTCTGGAATAAAAACACATAAATAATCACACCCTGAAATTGGTTTAATGTATTTGAAAAGTTAATGTTTGGTGCCAAAACCAAAAATCAAACAGGCAATACACTAATCTACGTTTTCAATAAAAGCAAAAGCATGGTGCGTACTTACATGACAAAATTTTGAAACATTTGGGAACAAACACTAGCTTAAACTAAAAAACAACTTTTACAATAATAAAATTAATGAATGGTTTGACACATTTATTCACAAAAATCTTGTAATAAAACTACTTACTGCTGTGTGTACGCATCCAATGGCTGAAACTTGTAGGCTCCCCTAAAATAAATAATTAAAAGAAATGATAACCAAACTAAATTATCATTCTAAAGGTCATCATCCCTTTCACCCAAGTGCAGCAAAACAAAAAATAAGAAGCTTTGATGTTAGTAAGATAGGCAAAATTAATGAAAATTACCTCATCATTAACTCTTCATCAATGTACTGCAATAGACTCCTAGACAAATACAATACAATTTAATCAAAAATGGAACAAACTAATTTATCGGAAAATTATTAGTTTCGTACTTTTTGCCATAATGGATGGCAAAAAATACAAAAGTTAGTAGTTTTACTTAAATCTCATGCAATTACTTTATTATTCAAGCATCAAGTAGAATCACTACAGCATTAATGACTGTCCCAAGCAAAAACACAGTAACCAACAATTTTTTACATATTTTGGTTTATTTGTTTAAAATTAAAAATCAATCAAAAACAGCGCAAAACTCCTTATACCAGTGTAAAAATATCTTAAAAACAATCAATTGTACTCCATTTTTTCAGAGAAATAACTCAAACACGTGTGAAAAACTATATTTTTTTTAGTTTGATAATAACAAAAAAAATTTACATAAACAAGAACTCTTAATCGAACTTTTAGTTGTTAATTTATATCTGCCACATCTCTGTTTTGGGTTATATTTGCAGAAATTATAATTTACTGTCGTCGCAACATGTTTCGGTAATCAACTGTAATCATCAGTATAAATTAGAATTACATTAAAAAAGTAAAAAAAAGTATCAAAATTTCGTTTAATTACTTAAACCAAGAATTAATTCGTAATTCCTGTGGTTTTAAAAAAAAATAAAAAGTTAAACGTGAATGGCGTGAAGCCGACACCTTCCCAAAATGACTAAGTCATTTTGTCTTTTTTGTTCTTTATGTGAAAATGTCCAAAAGTTCAGAAAAAAAATGCTTTCCTGCCAAAAAAGCAGAGACGAACATTTGACAAATATTGTATTTTATGTTTAATAACAATGTTCGAACTTTATTTTGAAATAGAAATATAATCATTAACCAAAAAAAATTGAGTTTTTTTTGAAAAATTTAAATTACACCTAGTGAAGGTGAACCTAGGTTTCTGAAACTTATTGCAATTAGGTAATTTATTTCAAGTGTTTTCCGTTTAAAACAGAAATTAAAAATTTGGAAACTCATTTCTATTTCCTGAGTTAGTATTTTGAGCTAATTGATTAAAAAATATTTTTGGGAAAAATTAGTATGGTGTCAAATTTGGCGCATAACTGAAAAACTTTTTCGGTTTAAAATCAGTATTTTCAGAATTTGTTAAATTGAACAAATAAACAATTTTTTTTTTTGAATAGACAAAAATTGACAAAATTTAGTAATTTGGAAATACGCGACATTATTTAAATCCAAAAATCTTGAAGGTGCTATAAGCTATGGCATTTGTAAAAATAGTCTATAATAAAAGAGAATATCGTTATGAAAATTATCTCTCAAAAAAAAATGGCAATTTCGATAAAATTTTGTGATATATCGTCTTGTTTCTCACTCATAAAATATAAATTTCTCGAAACAGTCCAAAACAGCGTCAATTTTAAAATAACGTAGCTATTTTTTGACTTGTTTTGACAAAATTACAGTTATTTCGGAAGAAATCGCTCGAAGCAGACAAAAATAATTTTGAACTTTGATGATTTTTTATCTATCAAACGAAAAACAAATTCCTCTGAAAACTAAAATATCGCCAAATTAAATTTCCCCATCAAAAACAAGCTAAATCCTTCAAAATAGCGTTAATTTTAAAATAATTTGGTCATTTTTGAATTGTCTTGACAAAATTACATAAACTAAAAGAGTTTTTTATTTGCTCCAAAATGACTCCTATTTGGATAAAATTTAATTCATGAGTTTCTCACGCAAAAAAGCTACATTTCTCGAGCCTAAACTAGCCCAAAATAGCATCAGTTTTAAAATATTTTAATTATTTTTGACTTGTCTTGATGAAATTACAAGAAAATATTAAAGTTTTTCATTAAAAAAAAAAATACACCTCTCGTTGGGACATCCTTTATCTTCCCTATTATGAATTAATTGTTTTTGTACTGAAAACTGCTTGAAATTGTATTTATTTTAATTTTATATTTGTAAAAATTAAACTAAGATAAAATACAGTATCTGACCCTATAAAACGATATTTTTAAGTCATTTTTGGGTCTATTAAAACACTAATTAAAAAGCAGATAGTGTTTTAGCTTGGGACAGCCGATTTTATAAAAGTTTTAGCCCAAACTAAGCTAAATTTTTTCGATTAAAACTTAATTTTTGTTGCCTATTTTCGAAAACGCAAAATAAATGTAAACAAAACAAAAGACCAATGATGTGAATGTGAAACCCCAGCAAACGAAAACAAAAAAATCAAACTCCACTCTCTCTCACGTCAAACCTCAAAGACATGTTCAAAATTTGTGAACCAGTCATGGCTCGTCGATCTAAACTAAAGTTTGATCAAAAAATTTAACAATTTAATCCAATCAAACGATTTCCAACTTACTTTTCACGATTTAACGAATCGAAAGCTGTTCCTATACCACACTTCTTATTTTGATGCTCGACACAATTATGAACAGTTGTCACATTGTTCATAATATCGGTGACGTCCCAGGATTGCTTATCGCGTGGTAATGCATTAGTCGCCCCTAAAAAAATAATAAAAAAAGAATTTAATTAATTAACCGTCCGTGATTTACCCGTCCCTTGAAGAGTATTGTTTGACTCGTCAATGTTCTCAATCTCGCCAGATATATTTATTGCACTTTGTGGTTTTGGACGTGACGTGAGCCGAGAAGCAATGCGTTGAGGAACATTCGGGATCGCCTAATTTTAAAACAAAAAATATTAATTTCGCATAAAAACCTGTAAAGTCTAAAATAGAAAAAAATCTCTAAAAACTTAAGGCAAAGGTTAAATTACCTAACTTTTAACATATCTAGGTAAAATTTTATGATTTATTTATTTTTTTAAGTTAAGCCAAAAATAAATCTTCTGTAACTAAGTACTTAATTCCAGGCCAAAACGATCACTTTTAAAACTCATTGTTTCTGATTTTTGTAAATTTGAGATATGTTATAGAACGTGTAAAAATAAGTCATACGTATTTTACCGTTTTATATTTTTTCAATGTATGTTGAAAAAACAGGGATGTACAAAATTAAGTACCTCGGAGCAAATGAATTTTTATCTAAAGAGCAAATCAACATATTGAAACGATTTTTTTTTACTAATAGATATAACTACGGACGTGATAATACATGTATTCTAAAAATTTGTTATTAACAAATAATTTAAAAATATATTGTTTAAACTAAAAAATAAACAATTACGCAGGTTTTTAAAATTCCCAAAAAATGTATGTAAAAACTTTCATAATTTTACTGTCTTTACATAAGTTTCAAGACGGACGTTTTAAAAATGGCTGAAAAAAAAAATATTTGAGAGCACTGCATAGTGCATGATCCCCTAAGATCGTCTAAAAGTAGCATTTCCTCGGAAATTAAATAGAAAAATTACCAATTACCGTCATTAATAAACTGTAGTATAGAAAACACATAATTTCCAATAACTTATTATTATTTTTCAAAAAATATCAATAATAAATACAATTCCTCGGTTGAGAAGAGTACTCTCTATATTTTTTTTTGTTCTATTTTCTGATATTAAAATAAAAGTATGTAGATTTCGCGTACCTTTTATGAGCTTTGCTCGACTAAAATGATCATTTAAAAAATCGCAAAGTCTTTTAACTTGTCGATTAGATTATACAAGGTGTGTCAAAAGTCTCGGACCAACGTAACATTCCATGTAAGGTAAGATACCAGAAGCATAAAAAAATGTAAAAATAATCTATCTATAAAAATTTCGAAGTTATGAGAGTTTAAATTTTGCACTTTGACACTATTTGTTTCTGTTGGAAAAATAATTTTCCATCTTTTTTTTGCTACAGAAGAAGAAACAAAGAAGCAGTATCCTAAATTGTGACTCTGTCTAATAGTATTTGTGGCTTTTATTAGCATAATTATCGTACCTTTATTAAATAACATACAAGATCATCAATATCATTAAACATAAGAAATGTCAATTTTCAGAATAATAAATGTAAAATTTTTTTGACATTTTTTTTATGTTCCTGGTATCTTACCTTACCAGTCACGTTGGTCCGGGAATTTTGACACACCCTATATAGACAAACTTAATATGTGAAATATTTACTCAATCGAAGAATTTGTTTTTTATTATTGATTTTTTTTGAAAAATAAATGTTAATAAATTATTGGAAATTATGTGTTTTCTTTAGAACAGTTTATTAGTGACGATAATTAATAATTTTTCTATTTAATTTTCAAGGAAACGCTACTTTCAGGCGATCTTAGGGGATCAAAAATAAATTTTTTCAGCCATTTTTAAAAGGTCCGTCTTGAAACTTATGTGAAGACATAGTAAAAATGTGAGAGTTTTTACATAATTTTTTTGAGAATTTTAAAAACCTGCGTAATTGTTTATTTTTTTCTTTAAACAATATATTTTTAAACTATTTGTTAATAACAAATTTTTAGAATACATGTATTATTACGTACGTAATGTACCTATTTATATCTATTATTTAAAAAAAAATCGATTCAATATGTTGATTTGTTCTTTAGAAAAAAATTCTTTTTGCTCCGAGGTACTTAATTTTGTACATCCCTGTTTTTTCAACATACATTGAAAAAATAAAAAACGGTAAAATACGTGTGACTTATTTTTACACGTTGTATAACATATCTCAAATCTACGAAAATCAGAAACAATGAGTTTTAAAAATGATCGTTTTGGCATGGAATTACTCAACTTCTATCTAAACAGGAATACTATAATATTAAATAGTATTTCATCAACGCTAACATTAAGCTTCCTGCTAATTATTATTAACTTAAGAAAATAATTTTTTTAACCTTGTTACCACATAATTTAAAATGAAAGTTATCAATTTTTGATTTTTAGGTGTCTAGAATTAAGTTTTTTTCATTCGTTTGCTTTGTAACTTGTCCTGAATCGTTCCAGATTTAAATTTATCATAATTTTCAGGTTAATTATCACAAAAAATTTTATGTACTAAACATTACCCCTTCATCGTCGGGCTCTTCGGTAAACATGTGTGAGGGATTATTAACTTTTTGTAACAATTCTATAGCCAGTCTTTTACTCATATCACCTTGGAAAAAAGCGTGCTAAAAATAAATCAATATTAATTAATCGAGTTGATGTCTCAATAAACCTGAAGCAATTTCTCAGCCGTTGGTCTTTTCTTGGGATTTTTTGTTAAAGCGACTTTAACAAAATTGTGAAATGTTGGGCTCCTAAAACGCATTTACAATTTTCTTACTGGTTAAAAAAACTAATTACCATTTTTCCTTATCTTTAAGTGTGGGTGGCTTAAACCCACTCTTTGACATGAGAAAAAGGGCCCTCATTGGGTGTAAATCAAACATAGGTGGTTGCAATTCGGCCAATTCGATTGCAGTGATACCAATTGCCCAAATGTCACACAATTGGTTGTAGCCTCCTTTACGTTCCACTGCTGCCACTTCAGGTGCCATCCAATATGGAGTCCCAATGAATGATTTGCGTTTGTTAATTGTGGCTGTGATTTGTGCAGAGACACCAAAATCGGCCAATTTCACGTCACCTGACTCCGTAAGCAAAATATTGGCCCCCTTAATGTCTCGGTGCATTTTGCCCATCATGTGCAAGTATGAGAGGCCTAGGAGAGTCTCTCGACACATGTATGCGATTTGTTGTTCAGCCAAGGGACCGGTGACTGAAATTTTAGAATTTATTATCGTTTGGGGTTTAAATTTTGAGACTTACTATGGTAAATGTCCTGTAAAGAGCCACCGCCACAATACTCCATGCAAATCCACAATTTGTCCCTACGTAAGTAACTACCATAGTATGCTATAATGTTAGGGTGACGACAGTCTCTCATCATGAGAATCTCCTGTTGGATAATCCCGAAATCATCGCCTAGAAAGCAACTTTAACATTGATCAAACAAGTGTCACTGGGGCGAACCTGGCTCTAGTTTAATCACTTTAATCGCGGCCAAATCGTTGGTTGAAAGTCGTTTCGCCTGAAATTAATCGAATCAAGTCCCCGAATGTTCTCACTTAAAATAATTGGACTTACTTTGTAGACATCACCATAAGTTCCACTCCCTATCCGTTGAATTAGTTCGTACTCGTCTTGAGGATTTCTCCTCGAAATATCTGAACTTAAAACTCCTTGGGCCATAGTTTTTCCCAGTGAATTACATTTTCATTTGCTACGTTTCGAATAAAATAGCTAAATGTTTACGTGAATTTGACAGAACGAGTCTTCAAGAACCGACATATTGGTTAATTCAGAGCGGCAACCTGAGCGCAAAAAATCGGCCTAACTCTCCTGCCCAGAAAATTATAAATGTGTGTCGGAGGCAACCCCAAGGCACTTTAAACCAAATCATTTCATTTACGGATTTTTATCATCAATCAATTTTTTTTTTTTTGACACAAGTAGCTACGACCAAATTTTTGCCATGTTGGTAGTTCCACAAGTCAAATGTCCAAACTCGAAAACCATGGGCGTAGACTTGAGTTAGGCGTCTACCGAACTAATTAAAGTAAAATCGTTTTCCTAAGACGTACTAAAAATTTTATTACTTTTTAGTTAAATGCGGTATTGTTTAGAATAAACCAAAGGGTAAACAAATCATAAATTAGTGGAACCCACCCGGACCCTGAAACAGCGCAATTTTTAACAGGCCCGGATTACTTTCTTTTTGTTTAAAATACTTGAAATGTTTTAATAGTTTTTGATGTAGTTGTTATTAAATTCAAGTATTTTAAGAAATATAAAAAAACAGGTGGTTATTAACAAGCTATTATTAAATAAAGCTGTTTTTTTTTCTAATAATAGCTTGGTAAAACTCTACCACTACTTTAGTTTTAGATACGGCACTGTTTTATTCTAGTGAGTGCACCAACACTTGCAAAGGAACGTGCCATTTATGGAGGGCTACAAATTCAAGCCATTGTTTGGTTAATCCCTGTGTCATAAAATTTTCAGTAGGTCTCAGGAAAACGATTTTACTATAATATTTTAGCCAATGAATATAGTAGAGTTGGGCACAATTGAATGATTTTAAGTATCGAATAAATAATATATTAAAATTCATTCGTTTATTTTATTCAAACGTTTGAGCAAATAAATGGTAGTATTTACTGAAAAGCAAAAAATTTAGACCGTATTGTTTTTTTAAATAGCAATTTCAAGTTAATAAATTAATACCCTGTGCACCTCATTATTTACAATTATTTTAATTTTTTGTGTTATTCTTTATTAAAACCATTGTATAATGTAATGTTTAAGTTTAAAAGTTTTATAATTTGTTTGTAATTTTTTAATTATTTTTTCAATAAATAAATGATTTTAATCGAATAAATTTTCATGCGCGCACGTGCTAGGCAAAATTTCATTAGGTACAAACTCCGATTGAATAAATTATTAGTGAGATAAACACATTAACCTAACTGTATGTGAAAAAGAAACAAATGATTTTATTCGATAATTCGGTATTGCGCTCATATTCATTTCTTCTTAATGAAGAATGAATTTTATACTATGGAATAATTCGAATGACAGACAACTATAGAATTATTCGTTAAGATTCATCCCATTGTGTCCATCACTAGAATTAGGGAAAAAATGCAACTCTACAATTCCCTTTTTACCACAGAATGGTTTTGTGTTACGCCACTGCTTAAGTTCCCCCACTACATTGGCTCCGCCTATCGATATCCTTCTAGGATTTCCTGACCTCTAACACTAAACACCACACAGAAAATTATTAATTTATTTGGAAAGTAACGTACAAGTTGCCTTGTCAAAATATGTAATAAATTTAATTTTAAAAAAGTATTATACATTTCTCAATATAAAAACCTAATCTCTTAACGCATTGTTGCATTTGAAATCAAGAGTGCACCTGATAGAGCTATCAATGTCCTGCAACGACGAATAAATCTGTATTTTGGGGGTGGTAGTAAAAGCCGACCTTGAACAACGTGTACTTCTCCTCACAGGAGTTGCAATTAATTTTTTTTGGAGTGTGATATCACCGTCACTATTTTTTCTACAAAAAAAAAACAATTAGTTTGATTTTTTTTTAAATCTATTATTTACGTTTTAATAAACCGTTCCTGAACAGCGAATTGAATAATACTCGACTTGAAGATATTTCTAACATTTTCAACAACTTTACTCTTTTGATTATTTCCAAAATCATTGTCGATATTTAGCAAACTGAATTTTTGTAACAGTTGATCAAGGTGTTTGTCCACATTTTCGACCTAAAATTCGCCAATTAATCAGTGATTCTGACAGATATGTCAATGTTGACAATTTAATTTAATAAAATTACTTTAGCGCCTTGTATTATGGCAGTTTTGTAGCACTCGACAGCTAGATCAATGTTTCCTTTTGTTTGTTCTAAAGCAGCTCGACATTCCCAATATTCAGGCGTGTCTTTGACTTTTGTGGACTTGTCTTTGATTAGTCTCAGCCAAATTTCACACTGTTCAGGCGGGTATCCCTGAAAAACATTTTATAAAACTAAAAAACATATTTATTGGCTTACTTCTAAAATCAGTTTGTGCAAATCGGTCAAAGCATCATGAGCAACGGTTGCAAAATCGTCATTTTTGACGACTTTAATTTCTTCTTTGTTGTCAAAACTGTTCTCTCTTACAATGTGTGTCTCTATATTTTCCTTATCAGCGATTTGTGATTCATTTTTGGTTTGTAAATGTACCCCAAAACATTTCAAATGGTTGAAGTCGGCTAAGTTTTTGCCCCTTTTTCTCATCCACTCACTTAGCCTCCTTGTTACTTCTTTCGTTTCTCGGCTTGGAGTCATGGGACAACATTCCACTTTTTTGGGGGTATTTAGCAGAGTTGAAGTATTCATTGTCTTTTCTTTACAAATTGAATTTTCCACTTTTCTTCCACTATTCAAATTTTTTTTTTTAGTTTCAGGGACGTGAAAAGATAACGATTTGCGAAGAACATGTTTTTGAGTCAATAACCGTTTGTTTCCAATTGTAAAATCAGTGTTTCTAGTCGTTGTATTACCGAAAACATTGCTCTTCTCATTACAAACTGGATTTTTCACTTCCCTTCCACTGTTCAATTTTTCTTGTTTGTTTTCAACGTGAAAAGTTTTCGTAATAGTCGCAGGATTGGAAACTGGTTTTTGCGTAATTTTCCCGGTTTGACTAGACTCTACATTGGGTTCTCCATCATCCAACAGTTTAACCAAGGTTTTGAGTGGTGTTGTTAATGGCACAAAGCTTTCCTTTGGATTTTTTGAGACAAGTTTTTCCTCCAATTCCCATCGCAATAAAGGATTTGCCTTAAGTAGTCGGTACTTACTTGCCAACGTTTGCCGGATTTGAGGGGGCGGTTTGTTTTTCCTCGTTACCCCCAACCTACTTGCGTTATGACTTTTCTTCTGGTCCATCTTCAAAAAAACAATAAAAAACACACTTTTAAACAATACAACTAGAAAAAAGTCGTTTAAAGTATTAACAAATGTAAAATTTTCGCTCTTCTTGAAACGTCAGTGTATGACAACAAAAAGCGTTTGATTTGAATTTCAAAACTTAACTGACGCGCATGCGCTGAAGGTGTAATTAACGCGTAAAAAGAAAATTTGTCTCCCAAGTTGGCCACAAACAAACAACAAGATACAGAAAAACAGTAAAAAATCTAGAGCAATTCCCGAAATTTTTTAAATACGTTTTTGTATACCTTGAAGTATCTCGTGGTATTTTTTTTTACTCTAATTTGTTGTTGGTAGAGTATTTTGTGACCTATTTTACCTTTAAAATGTTGCCAGTGTGGCAATAAAAAATTGCGAGGTTGAAATTTTTTTGAGCAACAGTGGCGGACACGGAATTTTGGACTTCAAATTTATGTCAGTTGATAAAATGTCAATGTTTGTTATTATTGTCATTATGACTGACGTTTGAAATTAAAATTTTAAAGTTTTAGTTTAAATTCATTTTTAGCGTCGGTTTTCCGAAACAATAATGCCCGCAATACATGTTTTTATATTAAAATAGTTCAATAAATTATTTTGATCTGTTGTCATTTTTTTTGGCTGTCAGGATAAAAATTATAAAAACCGAAAGTGAGGTTAGTTGGATAAGGCCCGTTTCACATTTTTATGTCAGTCAAATGACAAATTGTCCAAAATTTATGAACACTATACTTTTGATTTGACGGATTATTTTGTTTATTAATTGTTATTTTTATGAAAAGTCTCAAAAGTTACGTTTTTCTTGACCTGTTATGCAACCAACAATGTAAACATGTACCACTTGTACGTTTTATTGAGTATTTGGTAGTTTTATGAACGATTTTAAATACTTTTTTTTAGATTACTTTGGCTATTTTGGATTACTTTAAAAACTGTTTGTTTACTTGTTTTGTAATCTATGTATGTATTTTTTCTCAAAAACCAAAGATTTACAATTTTTTAATTATTATGCGACCCACATTACACGCGTGTGCATATGTTTACCTGACTTTTTCGTTCATTTTAAGAACCAATTTAAATACTTTTTTTTTAGATCATTTTGAGTTATTTTATTTTTTTTTATTTGTTTTTACTTATTTTTTAACTTATTTTATTTTAAACACGCAATTGCAAGGTTTTGTAAGTTTTACGATTTCCTATTTATTATTAAGTATTATGCCATCAACATTACAGAGGTGTACGTTTTACAGATTACTTTATTAACTTTAAAAACGATTTTAATACTTTTTTCAAAACAATTTTGGATTACTTTAAGGACGATTTTGTTTACTTTTTGGACAATTAAAAAATACGTTATTGTTAAGAGTATTTGTTTTATGGAGCAAAATCCATTCAAGAAAAGAGTTTTGCTCAAAAGTTTTTGCACCGAGTTTTTCAACTACATTTTTAGGTTTATTTTTAATTTCACGACCAAGTGATAACCGTTTTTGACTTTTTTGGCTCTAAATTCTAGTGTGTTTGCGTCTCAGCTATTGGTATTTCTGCGCCGTGTTTTTCGATTGGCTAGAGTGCAAATGGGCAATGGCGAAAATGGTGGGCAAGATGGCGCGTGATGAATTTTAACACATGTCAAAAATTGTTGCGGTAAGACAATTCCTGTGAATAAAAAAACCCAAACAGGTTTGGTTGTCGCCTTTTGATGGTGTATTTCACTCCGGCAATTTCCGGTACGAGTCTGTGATGCGGAAGTGCGATAAATTTTCGGGATGACGTAAACATTTTGGTATGAAACTGCCTTTTGAGTGAAAATACTGGAAAATTCAGCGTCACAAACGTCACACGATGATATGTGAAGTGTAATTTATCGTTTGTGATGAATGGTTTGTGTTTCAGATTTCCAGAGGCGTCGCTTAAAAATGAGGAGGAAATGTGAGGATGTTTTGGACTCTTCGTCCGATTACGGTGTAAGTACCTAACACTTGGACTTATTTGGTTATTATAAAATAAGTCCGGTTTGTGGACTATATTTGCGTACACATGTCTTTCTATAATTATCTCCTGGCTCTCTTCCAAAAGCTGCGTTTAAATGTCCACTAGTTTGTGTCTAACTTTGTATAATTCAATTTTTATATTGTACTACTTTAACGGATTACACTGGCGAATCGCCAAAGTTTCAGTTTTTTTTTTCTTTCAGCCGATGAGTACTGAAGATGTTCAAGTGGACGTGAAATATAGTGATGATCTTGGACACAAAAACCCAAAACATCTTCTTTTAAACTCGGCCACCACAGTGGCAAGCATTGAAATGTTTGTTCGAGATGAGTTTCCAAACGATCACGAAACTCTTGATCTTGTACTCCAATGTGAGGAGGATGGAAAAGAAGTAAGTTTCGCCACAAAACACGATTTAGTATTGCGGAATACGAAATTAAATATCGTAACTTAATATGCAAACATCTAACTGTTTTACTAACTGCATTCTTTATTTGCTTGTACATAAATTAAGGCGTTAGTTGATTGATTAGATTCAAGGTTGTGTCTTGCAAACAATTTTTTTCTGTTATTTGAGGAAATAAAATCGATTTTATAAAAATAGAATTGAACAAATAATTGATCTTTAGAAATATACAGGCTGTAACGAAAAGATGCGGATAACGAGTAACCTGAGATTCCTCAAGTCAATGAAATTAGGATTGTTTTGTTTAAATAAATAAAAATTGTAATAAATATAATTAAATAAATAATAATTAATTACATTATTGTTAACACAAACATACATAAAGAAACTATTTTTTTATTACAATTTTTTGAACAGTAATAATAAATAGCTAGCTTCCGAAATTTTGACGTATGCTTAAATTACACTGGTCAACAAATTTGAACAAATTTTTGGTAACATTGATTAAACTACCTTCCACGTTTATGATTTCGGAAATTTTCACAAAAATGTCTCAACACGTATCATTCGTATGTTACCAACTTCGTTCTGACACCCATGTTAAAGCAAGAGTACTGAAAATAATTCAACTATTTAATTTTTTATTATAAGCATACAATATTTTAATAAACTAACTTTAGAAACATCAAAAAAGTCGTATATTACAAAAAAAAAGTGAAATCTCAACATTTTCTTTTGTTAGGTGCGTTACTGTCGCATTTTAAAAAAGCTGGAAGGGTTCCAGCGGCCTTGATAGCGTTCTTTCATCTTTCTGATGTCTTTTTGAAACCTCTCCCCTTGTTCGTCACTGACAGCCCCCAGATTTATTGGAAAAAAATCCAAGTGAGAGGGCAGAAAATGTATTAATTAAATTATTGGTAAAAAATGCAACAAATAAACGGTACGTCTTATCAAAAAACTAAATGCATTTTGTTATTTCGGAAGTAAAAAACTACTATTGACCAAATTGTCATCAATGTTACCGAACCCTTGTTGACCTGTGTTATTTTTTACTTTAAAGCTAAGGCCGATATAAAAGAAAAAAAACAACAAAATTGTTTAAAAATAATGTATTCTTCGAATAAAAAACAAGTAAGTAAACAAGTAAAAACAGGTAAGTATTATTGTTAAGTACAGTGCGATCAAAAAGTCTGTCTATCAAGCAATCTTAGAAATTTAAAACGTATGTCGGTTGAAGATAAAATGTCGCAATGAGAAATGTCAAAATATTTTTTATGTAAATTATGACAGGAAACCGTGGTAAACAATTTTTATGAATAAACACCAACAAGATCTCATTTTAGTTTGTTTTGAGACGTTTCATAGGATAATTCAATTTAATTATCTCAATGTTTTAATTTTTATAAAATAATTTTTTGACATCTAGATAACATACGAACTGCCATGCAACATACGTCCTCAACTAGGACGCCTACTTGATAGAAAGACTTTTTGATCGCACTGTACTTAACAATAATAATAAAACAAAAGATTTGCACCACACTCTGTGGTTTTGATATCAAATTGCCTGTTTCATAAAAATCAATTATTAAAGAAAAACAAAAATAACTTTTAAGGTTTTGGCGTCCTCTAAATACGCGAACCAATATACAGGGTGTGTCAGAACAGGCGCCCCAGAGAAAGAAGTAAGGTAAGATTTCAGAAAACAGAAAAAAATAATTTTCTATGTTTTTTTGATACTGCCTAACAGAAAAGGAAACAAGGAATTCGTACCTTTACTAAGTAATTACGAACCAACATGTACAAGATCGTCATTAACACTAAATAGGCATTAAAATTTTGCGCTCATTTGTAAATTTTGGGGCTAGCTTAGTACTCCAACTAAAAAAAAAATTCTAACTTTATTAATCGTTGAGCGATTTTCTTGAAATTTTTAATGTTTCTCTAATTTGCCACAGCTGGCAAAAAAAAACACAAAAAAATTGTTTTTTGTTTGAGAATTTGAATTTTTTTGAACCATTTTGAATCAGAAAATTGTTCATTACGGCATTGATATGGTTCAAATTGTTCTAAATTTTGTACGGATTGTAAATAAAGAAACCAATCTGTTGAATTATTATGTACTTTTGAAATTTTTTTCGAAGATTCGACAAGCGGTTTTAGCCTTCATTTGTAAATTTTGGGGCTAGCTTAGCACTATAACTACAAAATTGCTTTAACTTCATTATTTATTAACCGATTTTGTTCACATTTTTAATATTGGCAGTTATTCATTTTAAATGAGCCACCACTGGCAAAAAAATTGAATTCTTTTTTGAACCATTTGATTTTTTGTGCTAAGTTTTGCACTAATTGTATAGTGAGAATCAACCTGTCGAATTATGGATTTTTGGTTACCGCGATAGTGTTAATTGTGAATGGGAAATGATTATTATTGGTCCTTGTAATCGGCCAATAATTAACAAATGTGACCAACCAATCAAATTCAAGATTTTGCAAAAATCTCACGGATTATCAATAAAAACTGTTTTAATTCAATTCGAATTTGCTTTGAAAAAGACACAAAAAATAATAATTTTAAATTGATTTTATCAATTTGCCACGAAAAATTGAAGTTAAATAAGGGACTATATCGTCAATTTTTTTGTCAGTAGATTCCAAAAAAAAATGCAGATTAAAGATTTATTTGACTTTAAAAAAAAACGTTTGATTTTCTTGAAGAGTGTGAGCTACATTGTCGCGAAATGTCAACAACTGTCAGAAGTGTCAGATTGAATGATTGAAAGCCAACGCATTCTTAGTGATGTTTTTCTTTAAAACGTTAATTTAGGCACTTTTAGACCCTTTTTTTTCTCTATGAAACTCTACTACTTTGAAGAATTATGATTGAGTTTTGTTTTTTACTTTCACCCAATCTCTACCTTTTGCCGTTTTTTACTTTTAGTGCTTCCAAATTTTCCTACAGGTAAAACAATTATTATTGTGTCACAAAGATGGTTAAATAACGTTTTACACGGGTGTGAGAGCGTTCAAGCTATCACGTTAATTAAAACTAATTAAGTCTAGTTACCAAGGTAAATTTAAAGATAAGGGTTTAAAAAATACGATTTACATTTTAAACAAGTAAGCAAAGTGGGAGATAAGAGCTATTTATGTTGTATTTTTTTTGAATGTCACGTTTTTGCAACCTTTACTTTAAATAATGAAATTGTTGTTTCTAAGTAAATAATTGGAACAGTCTGTTTTATCATTTTTTTTTTATAATAAAAGGTTGGAAAGTACCAAGTTTAGAATATTTTTAATGCAATATAAGACCTCTTTACAATCCCTAAATCGTAATTCCGAATCTATTATAATTCCAATTTTTTTTTGTATACAGGGTCCGCCAGAACTCGCGCACCAGAGAAAATTTTCAAGTAAGGTAAGACACCAGGAACATGAAAAAAATGTTTAAAAAATTCTATCTGTCAAAAAATTTTATGTTTAAAAAATTCTATCTGTCAAAAAATTTTGACATTTATTTTTTAACATTTGACATTTTTTTTATATCTATTTAATGATACAGATGATCTTGTATATGTTTTTTTTTACAATTATTTAGTAACGAGACAAAAATTTTGCCAATAAAATCTACAAATAACATTGAACAGAGTTACAATTTAGGATACAGCTTCCTTGTTTCCCCCTTTAATAGCCTATAGCAAAAAAACTTGGAAAATTATTTTTCTAACAGAAATAGCATTTTTTTCATGTTCCTGGTATCTTATAGCATTTTTCTCTGGGGCGCGAGTTCTGGCGCACCCTGTATTACCAATTTTGAGTTTATTTAAATTAAATAATTTTCTGATAATTTTTATTGGGCAATTTTTCTAGATTTGCCTCAGCGACCATAAAGCCAGCTGCATGGGCGACCTTGGCATCAACCTGAATCCCGGCCACAACTACACCATTCTTGTTTCACCATCGGAGAAGCGTAACATGTCTTTATACGTCAATGACGTTACCGAAGACGATTTACTATTAGGCGCTTCGGCAAGTCCAACAACAGGTGAAGTTTTATCGTCTAGTGCAAGCGACAGTGCTGCACCCATCGACGATTATCCCGAACATGGACATTGTTCGCGATGTCATGATGAATCGTCCAATAACGTGGAGGCGATGAGTGTTGTCGAAACGACGAATTACGTCGGTTTAGTCAACCAAGCAATGACCTGCTATTTGAACAGTCTAGTTCAAGCGTTGTTTATGACACCTGAGTTCAGAAACGCCATCTATAATTGGGAGTTTGATGGGCAAAATGAGGCCAGGTCTATTCCATATCAGTTGCAGAAGTTATTCCTCAATTTGCAGGTGATTAATAAAATTGGGTGCTTGAAAAATATTGTGTTTTGAATATTGAAACATATTTAAAATAGTCTACGTCACGTTTAAGAAATATGTAATTAACAAAAATACAAAAACCGCCCAACAAATTACAAATGGGTTGTTTTACCTTGAATAGTAATCTAACATATTTTTATCCCCAAAGCCTTGATGCCAATCTTATGCTGCCTAAGTTTTTAAAAAAAGTCCAAATGCGAATCAATGAAATGTATTTTACGAGAAAGACCCATTTAGACCCATCTGGTGATAATATTGCAATAATTCAGCAACAATTTGAATTTTAAATAATTTTTTTAGGCATTCGTGCAGAAAGCAGAAAAATTATCGTTCGTAACAGAAAACTGTGATGTGATAAAAAATAATTAACTATTAACTTTGTTTAATTACATTTATTTAATTCATGAAATTCATTTTGTTCCTATTTTGTTACTATTTTTCGCCTTGTTTCTTGGTAAAAACGAGATTTATCAAAATCGACAAAAACATATTTGTGATCAATTTTTTTGCTTTATTGTAGCCACAGAGTGGAAAATAACGCATTTCCAAGTCTGATTTTACAAATTTTCACTCCCTTCTACATTTTTTTCAAATTTTGTTATTAAAAAACGCTTCTAAATTAATGGAAAATACGCAGCTTTGCTCTAATTTTAATTTGTTACCTTGTTTTGGCAAAATCTTTCGAATTGAGTAAGTTTCTCAATAAAAACGTTTAAAATTCATTTAAATAGTCTAATGGTCTAATTTTTATCTTGGTTTGTTAAAATTTACCGAATTTTGATTAAAGTCTTGCAAAACAGAAAATAACCCATTACAAATCTAATTTTGCATTTTTTTGACTTGTCTTCGAATTCAGTCTTACTACATATGCTCGAAATTCAAAAAAAACCTCATATTTTTGTTCCAATTTTTGCTTTGTTTCGTCAATATTTGCCGAATTCTGTTTTTGTACTCCTAATTTTGCATTTTTTTGTCTTATTTCTCAGTGAAAAACGCATTGAATATGCGAAAACAACGCATTTTCAAGCCTAATTAATTTTTTTAAATTCTGTCATTAAAAACACTTCTGAATTCATGGAAAATACACAGTTGTGCTCCAATTTTGCAATTTTGTTTTGACAAAATCTTTCAAATTTAGTAAGTTTCTCAGTAAAAACGCTCAAAATTCATTGAAATAAAAGAAAAAACACACTTTTGGTCTAATTTTTGTCTTGGTTTGTTAAAATTTACCGAATTTTGATTAAAGTCTTGCAAAACAGAAAATAACCCATTGCAAATCTAATTTTGCATTTTTTTGACTTGTTTTCGAATACAGTCTTACTAAATATACTCGAAATTCAAAAAAAAACTTATATTTTTGGTCCAATTTTTGCTTTGTTTCGTCAATATTTGCCGAATTTTGTTTTTCTACACCTGATTTTGCAATTTTTTGTCTTGTTTCTCAGTGAAAACAACGCATTTTCAAGCCTAATTAATTTTTTTTTAATTCTGTCATTAAAAACACTTCTGAATTGATGGAAAATACACAGTTGTGCTCTAATTTTGCAATTTTGTTTTGACAAAATCTTTCAAATTTAGTAAGTTTCTCAGTAAAAACTTTCGAAATTCATGAAATAGACGAAAAAATACATTTTTGGTCTAGTTTTTGCCTTGTTTGGTTAAAATATAACGAATTTTGATGAAGAAGCTTTGTAAACCAGAAAAATACGCGTTTTTAACCTAAATTTGCAATTTTTTGACCTGTTTTTGAATTTAGACTCGTAACTATGCTCGAAATCTAAAAAAAAATCGAAAAAAAATTCATATTTTTGGTCTAATTTTTGTTTTGTCAAGATTTATCGAATTTTGAGTTTCTCGGAGAAAAGAAACTCTTGTAAAATAGAAAATAAGATATTCTACACCTAATTTTGCAATATTTTGCCTTGTTTCTTAATGGAAAACTAATTTGTAAAAATCAACAAAAATAACGCATTCTTGACCCATGTATTTTTTGCCTTATTTTAAATACTAAATACATAGTTCGAATTTAGTAAGTTTGTCATGGAGAAAAACTCTTAAATTCATAGAAAAATAACATTTTTTGATCTAATTTTGCAATTTTCTATTCTGTTTTTGTAAAATAGTTCGAATGTTGCATGTTTCTCAGTGAAAAACGGTTTGAATATGTGAAAACAACACATTTTCAAGTCTAATTTTAAATTTTTTTAATTTTGTTATTAAAAAAAAACACTTCTGAATTCATGGAAAATACACAGTTGTTTCACGTAAAAACGCTCGAAATTCATAAAATAGTCGGAAAAAAAATACTTAATTTTGATGAGAAACCCTTACAAAATATGATAGAAAATAACTCATTTTAAACCTAATTTTGCGATTTTTTTGACTTGTTTTTGCAAAATATTTCAAATTTTGTGAGTTGTTGGTGGAAACACTATTTAGAAAAGAAGGGAAAATAACGCATTTTAGTCTTAATTTAGTAATTTTCTATTTAGTTATGGTAAATTTTAGTACGTTTCTTCTAGAAAATTAGGGCGTGTTTTTTTCAATTTATTTAATTTACATTGTCGACAAATTGACTCACTTAGGAAATATTCTTTAGATCAGAATAACATTTTGATTAAGGCTATTTGTTTGAGTGATGAAAATTTAACACCACTAAATTTAATTAATCCAAACGTAAATGAAATGATAATTAACGAAATTCATTTTAATAACATTATTAATAAATTACATTTGTGGTTTTTAGACGTCAACGAGGTCAGCTGTGGAGACCACCGACTTGACCACTAGTTTTGGTTGGCAAGGTAGCGAAGCCTGGCACCAGCACGACATCCAAGAGCTGTGTCGTGTCATGTTCGATGCATTAGAACGCAAATTTAAAGACACCAAACAAGCAAATCTTATCAATGATTTGTACGAAGGCACCATGTTAGATTATGTCAAGTGTTTAGAGTGCGGTACAGAAAAATCCCGCGAGGATACCTTTCTGGATATTCCACTACCGGTCAGACCATTTGGTAGTACAGTAGCCTATAATAGTGTCGAAGAAGCTTTAAGAGCATTTGTTCAACCTGAAACTTTAGAAGGAAATAATCAATATCATTGCGAAAAATGTAATAAGAAGTGCGACGCACACAAAGGTTTGAAATTTATAAAATTTCCTTATTTACTCACATTGCATTTAAAGAGGTTCGATTTTGACTACAACACAATGCACAGAATCAAGTTGAACGATAAGTAAGAATTGGTAGTGGAAAATTGTGTGATGTGTGATTGATGATGGTTTTTTGCAGGGTTGTCTTTCCTGAAAAACTTAATTTAAATTCTTTCGTGCCTAATAATAGGAGTGAAAACGATGGTTTAGAGGAGAGAGATACAGTTGTAAGGTGTGATGAGTGTAGTACGACGGATTCAGGCTCGGCTTTGGATGATGAGAGTTGTCAGGGTACTGATTTGTCTTCCAATGTTAACGATCATGATGAGAACTGCGAGGATAGCGATGAAGGTAATTTATGGAAAAAATCTGTTGTTAATTTGGTGACAAAATATAAAAAATAATAATAGCAATATTTTTGAAATAAAAAGAGGGATTACAAAGAATTTGTAGAGAATTAAATTCTCTATAGTAAAAATCACGAGGGTAGACTGGTACGTCATCAATTTCATTTTTTTCTTACCAACACAAAAGTGAAATAAAAAATTCTATCACAATGTAAATTGAAACAATTAAAGGGTCTCTAAGGATGGTAGCTTTGAACATTAATTTAAATTCCAGGTGAATAAAAAGTATGGAACCAAACGTTTTTTGCTTAAACTAAAGTACTATAAAAATGTGATGGTTTAACAAGAATAAAATTTTTCGAAATTTCCTTTTGTTTTTGAGTTCTACAAAAAAAAATTTTTTTTTTAAATGGCAACCCACTATAAAATCATTTTTCTCATAAAAGCTATACTCGAAGGATTACAACTATCTGCTTAAAATTAAAATTTTGACAAAAAAATCGCATAGTTCAAAAACAAAACAAAATTTCGTTCTGAAAATACGATCACATTTTTTATATTACTTTAATTTATATTAATTATTATTTTCTGGAGGCAAATGATTAAAAATAAATCCGCTTGGTTCCATACTTTATATTCACCCTGTATGTACTTCAACTACACCACTTAAATGTCATGTTGGTGTCTTTTTGGTATAATTTACAAGTATTTTTCGTTTATTGGTTAATTTATTGCTTTTGTTCTGCGTCTTAATAGTTTCTTTTAATAATTTCTTACGATTAAGTAGCTTCTATGAAATCAGACATAAATGCACTTGTGATAGTGTAAAAAATTGATGAGGGGTCACCGATAAAAATTAGCCCTCCCATCATCCTTTATTTATTCTACAAAAAATGGGGCCAATCTTATAAAAAAAAACATTCATATGCTGTTTTAGTACTTTACATATTGTGTCTGCTATGGCACAAACCACACTCTGTAAATAAAATTGTGATTATTTGAGGTAAATATGAGCGTTGTTTAAGAAGTCCATTATTTAATGAAGTAATTAACAGTACAAATCGACGCATTATTATGACTCTCACATAAGTAATTTTCTGGTTTTCATAAGATCAAAATAAAAGCTTCTTAACGTTTACTGTTTGTTTTCGAAGGATGTAAGATGCAACTTTGTTTTGTAGACGTCTTGAATTTCAACATTTTCTTTTCTCTTACCTGGAAGAATGCTTAAGATGCTCTAGAAAATGGTAAAAACGTAATATTAATAATTCTGTAAACTGAATTGTTTTTTCATAACCACTTTTTTGTTTCCTCTCACAGTAATCTCAAAAAATTTCTTAATTGAAAAAAAAATCAGTGAAAGCAACTTGAAAATGATATGTCACTTGACCCGTTTTTCTATTTAAATTTTTTGAACGGGTGGAATGCAAAATAACTTTGAAACTTTAAGTTAAAATTGATTGTTTCGCATTTTGTACAAAATCGGAGATTTTAGAGGGTGCAAATTTTAATTGGGACAGCCTGTATATTGTACAGTATATATTTTACGTCAAAACTGCAAAGGAAAAAAAATTTTTGCTTTACCTGAAACGAATAAATCTATAATTAAAACTTAATGATTTTGACTCAGTGGAAAGAAAAGTTCATTTTTCTCTTGATTTTGAACTTGCAATTATTTTTCTCTGCGTTTTAAATCCCATCATATGGCGGTTTTACTTTTTTGACAAATGAGTTTACGTTAAATAACAAAAATGTTTGTGAAAAACATAATTTTAATAAATGGCAACTCAAAAAAAACAGATTTAAGATAAAAAAATACAAAGTCATTTTTAACAAGAATAGTTATTATTCAATTAATTATTTAAATGTGATGAGAAAAGTTTAAAATTAAAATTAAGAGAAAAATTAACTTTTTTTCTACCGAATCAGAACAATGAAGTTTTAATTAACCTTTCAGATTAAGCAACAAATGTTTTTTTTTTGAAGTTTTAGCGTAAAATCAAAGAACAATTTTTCCTCTTGTTTTTTTTTAATTTGAATATTAAAAGGGTAAGTTTTGTAAGAGGGTGTTTTTTTTAATTTCAAATTTTGTCAGTATTTTTAACGGAAGTAAGCACGTGGGGTATAAGATAAAATAATTGTTCTTGACTTGGATCAATCCTTGTGACTTAAATTCACCTTTAAATTGTCCAAAATTAAAGATACATTTATGCAATTATACATTTTGAAATTTTTGGGGTTTGGAAGGCGTAAAAATTTGGGGATAACATTTTTGGATTTCTAACGTCCTGGATTTGGTCAATGTTTTGACATTTTTACCTCTAACTTACTTCCTAAATAGTAAAAAAAATGATTCTGATTAATGATTTACAATAAGAAAACTATTTTTTAAGTAAATTAACACTGAATAATTTTTTGTACCAGGAATCGACGTGAGTTCCGGCAACGTGCACCCCGAAAACGACGCCAAAGGCCCCTACATCTACGAACTGTTCAGCATAATGATCCACTCTGGGAGCGCCTCTGGTGGTCATTACTACGCTTACATCAAAGATTTCGACAAGAACCAATGGCTGTGCTTTAACGATCAAAGCGTAAACCGGATAACTGAAGACGATATTAAGAAAACCTACGGTGGTGGCCCTCAAAAAGGCTACTATTCGGGCGTCTACACCTCGAGCACGAACGCCTACATGTTGATGTACCGTCAAATCGATAAAGACCGAAACTGCACCGCTATGAAAGTCGAGGAATTTCCACCTCACATGCAAAAATTGCTTCAGAATATGAGAAATAAAGAGAAGACTGATAGATTGAACAAGGAGAAACAAAACAATTCGTTTCGGATGACTGTCAATTGTTATCATCCGAATACGGAGGAGATGATGGATGTGAGGATCAACTTGTATTTGGATTCGACGTTGGAGGATGCCATCCAGATGGCGCATCGACGCTTCAAATTGGAAGGGATTGTGGATGTTGACGATTGCAGGATGGTTATTTTTAATAAGAAACAATCATGTATCGACTGTAGTTTCGAGTCCGATGACATTAAATTCTGTGATATTGACGATAAATATAAAGTGTGTTATCAGGAATGGTTATTAGACATCAGGGAGCCAGGTGAGTGTTTTTCCCCACTTGTTTGATTTGTTTTCTGACTTGTGTGGTTTAAAGGAACGGAGTTTAAAACTTATAAGAAAGGTGGGATGAATAAGAGGACATATTTCGTAAATATCGAAACAGAAGATGTTCGAGAGCCTTTTATGGTGCGAATTGACGACGGCGATACTGTTAGAGACTTGAAGAGTAAAATAACCGAACAATTGGGAGTGAACGTTAACAATATCCAAGTATAAGAATAATCCTGACACAAGTTGAATAACTATTTTTTTGTGTTGTTTAGGTTGCAATTGCGAAATTCTGTAATGAAGCTAAATACTTGGATGATGATAATGTGACAATTGCCGTTGATAATACTTCCCCTGATTTCAAACTATACGTCACCAATATCATTGATGAGGATCCAGACAAGAGTTTCGAGAATTCTAAATTTAAGAAAATCATTGATAGGTTTGAAAATATTGTTTATTTGAGTGTTTTGTTGCCAGACACAGATCCAGGTAATTAATATTTTTTTTTTCATTTTTGATTGATTTATTTATTTGATTTTGTAGTGACTATTGATGGTTTGTTTATACCGAGTTTGGATTCTGATAAGTTGGATGCTGTGACTACGGAACGAACTAACTCGCCTAGTCTTAGAGTTTCACCACAACCGGGCATTTTGAGTTGTGGTGATAATTTTGGTGATCAGAGCAACAGTGAAGATAGTAGTTTGAGTGATAGCGATAGGACGCTTGTAGGAGACGCACCAGGTATTTAATTGGGGTTTATTTGTGATTTTTTCGAACGTAAATGAGGGATTTGTTGTAATTTGGGGGGCCAAAAGATAAATCTTTTCTTTATTGAAATAAATTATTCAATTCGATTTCAGAGTACCCTACAAATTTGAAATTTTTTGTCATTTAACTGAAAAGTGGTTTTTATAATAAAATAGGGTCAAACATTAATAACAAACAACTTTTGATTTTAATAATTACAATTGTTTTAATAATTGAAAAGTGCTGGATGAAGTTTTACGTTTGTTCAGTTTTGGGAGCGTATACAAAAAAGCTGTTTTATTTATTTTATGGAGTCACCGAAGTCCCTTAATAAAATTTTTAGGACCTCTAGACATGTAAAAAATATTTTTGATTCCATTTTTTTTAATGTTATTTATTTTTGTCAAAATTTTGGCCGATTTTCGGTCGCCGGAGCGGTCTGTTGCCTATAACTCCGGAATTGTTGGTGGTAGCCCTTGTGTTTAGTACCATTTGAAAGCACTTTTAATTTTCTAAATTATAATAACAAAATCATTGTCTTTTAATAGACGCCAATCGACTTTCCGGAACATTTTACAGGTTTTCGTACGTATGGTTTAAAATATTAACCACTTTAGTGGTATACCACTTAATAGTGGTATAGTTGTAGTCTAGCAGAAATTGACAAAAAAAAGTTTTTTTTCTAACTTAATAAAGTAGTTATTATTTTAAAATAATTATTTTGGGTATTATTTTTTATATTTAGCCACTATTGTTGAGCAATAAATTATACATAGGTTTGAATGTGTTTTCTAAAAATTTTTGCGGACTCATTTACTATACCACACTCGGCTTTGCCTCGTCCGGGACAGTAGCAAATATAAATAAATAGGACAAGTCGAAAAATCAAGTAATTATTTTTCTATAAAATTTTGTTGTTTGAATTTGTCTTTATAGTTGTGGCATTTGCCGTACAGTTTTGTCGAATTTAAGTAAAAAAAATAATTTGAATTAGTGATATTGTGAAAAAGTTTTGTGCATGTTAAACTGCAATCTTATTGTTTAAACGATAAAAAAATACTTGTTTACGTTTCACTTTTTATTAATCAAAATTATATTAGTTTCTAACGTTTTTTCACACAATTTTTTGACGTCAAAGAATTAAATTCATGTAAAAACGGTGAAAATTGAATAAAATTTTATATTATATTTTATATTGAGTTTACAAGAGGCAAAATTTTTTATTTTTGATTTTACGCCAAAACTGCAAAAGAAAAACATTTTTTGCTTCACCTAAAACGAGGAAATCTGTACTTAAAACTTCATTATTCTGATTCACTGAAAAGAAAAGTTAATTTTTCTCTTGATTTTTAGGCTCTATCACATTGGCGGTTTTATTTATTTMACAACTACATGTCACTTTGACAATTAGTTTAATTTAATTTAATATTTTTTTTTCCTCTTGTAAAGTGACTTTCTCCAAGATAAAAATCAATTTTATCGTTTTATACAGGTGCGCCAGAACTCGCGCTTCAGAAAAAAATGTAAGTAAGATAAGACACCAGGAACATGGAAAAAATGTATTTAAAATTCTATCTGTCAAAAAATTTTGACATTTATTTTTTGACATTTTTTATGTTTATTTAATGATACTAATGATCTTGTATGTTTTTTTACAATTATTTAGTAAAGGTACAAAAATTTTGCTAATAAAAGCCACATTGAACAGAGTTACAATTTTGGATACAGCTTCCTTGTTTCTTCTTCTAATAACCGGTAGCTTAAAAAATTATTTTTCCAACAAATAAATAGAGTCAAAGTACAAAATTTTTGTAGATAACATTTTTTTAACATTTTTTTATGTTCCTGGTATCTTACCTTCATTATGTGGCATTTTTCTCTGGGGCGGAAGTTCTGGCGCACCTGTATAATAAATAAGTCTTGTTAAATCCTTATCTAAATTGAATTATTCTGTTTTATGTTGTGCAAAATTATTTACTCCCATTCAAATTACAATACTTATGGAAAGTAGGGGTGTCGCAGCTCAGTTTTCACTAGAAAAAACACTGTCTTATTTATTTCCGTTAAATTTTCGTGATTTTTAAAGTCGAAACATGCATTGTTTACTCAAGTCATCGTGCGTATTTTTTATTTTAAAATTTGGAAGTTAGTTCTATTTTTACTTATTTATAAACCAATAATAGCTGCTTTTGTGTTGCCATAACCGAAACTGTCAAATTTTGATTAACGTAAGCTCACTGAATGAAAAATGATCTAGATGCAAAACCTGAAATAGAAGTAAAAAATAAATTAACTTTGCAAAACCAAACTTTATCTAAAGCAGACTATATTTCCGATGTTATATTTTAAAATAGTCAGTAGTTATTTATAAAAATACATTTAAAGTTGAATTGTTAGGAAATTTGTTTGATCCAGATTTAGTGTTGGTTTCACCAATTCACAAATTTGACTTAACCTCAACCGTCATAAACATAAATATGGGTAGCATAAATGTTAATTAGTTGAAGGATATGTTTATTAATTAACTAGGGAACAAAAAAATATGTATGTGACTCTTGCAGAAAGCCGCATTAGCATCGCTTTCGGCGCTTGTTACATAAATAACTATTAAGTTACTAGACCGGTAATAACGTTTTTAAGGATGAGGTAGTAAATTACTCTGTAAACTATTTCAATTGTTATTCCAAATGATTTACTTTTAAATAATTATTGTTTCAGTATGTTCCAGAAATATTGAATTAATAATAAATTATTAACAAGACAACACACTTGATTACGAATAGTAAAAGCCTGAAAATGTTTTCAGGTGAATGCCAGGGCATTTTCTCGAGCAGTTCGACATCGCCGGCCGACCAGCACATGACCTCTCCCATGGACCCCACCGAAGACATGTACAACTACGACGTTCTCGGCAATCCGTCCGAAGAAATGCATTGGGATAATCACGCGACCGGTGTCATCCGAAACGCGACTTATTTCAAAGTTTTAAATACGCGCGACTGTAGACGTGGCGTTTCAGATGCGAATTACGCGAAAATCTGTAAAGTGTTTGTTGATAATCGTATGACTTTAGAGACGTTTAAAAAATGTCTAGAGTCGGTAGTTAGGGTTCCTAAGGAATATTTTAAAATTTACCGTCAGTATCCGAGTCCGGATGAGGAATGGTCGAATTTATCGGATACTTTGCGTCTAGCTCGCGATGGCCAAACACTAACCGTGAAATTGGGACGTGCTCTAGCGATAAACGAGTTCAGTTGTAAAGTTTATTTACTGCGTCCTGAAAGCACCGAAACCAATCATTTTCTATTCGAACATATCTTAACGAGAGGACAATCCGTGGGTCAAGTAAAAAAAGAGATTTTATTCAAGGCGAAAAAACAACATATGTTGGATATACCATATAATAAATGTCGATTGCGAGAGAAGTGTCTGAAAAAACCGCGGAAAGTGTATCTTGATGATCAAGTTTTCTCGGATGATATTTTGGTGTTGAGCAGTTATGAGATTTATCTACAGGAGTTACCCTACCCGGAGAAAGTTACATCGACCAATCAGCAAGCGTTATTTGCTAGACATTGGTGTCCAGCAACGATGACTCTACAACCTTTTCAGGAAGTCATCATAGATACACCAACCATGACTGAACTAAAAACGAAAGTGTCGGAACTTTCGAATATTCCGGTCGAACATGTTCAGGTAGCATTTGTCAAAAGTACATTTCCCTGCGATATGCATTTGTTAGATATACACACCGAGTTGGAGTGGGATCCCAACGTGACGCATTTGCACCAGTGGCCTCTGCAGGTGGACGATGGAACCGCCTTTTTCTACAGGTACACAAAAAAAAATTATATTCAGGTGTTTCAGTCAGTTGGTAAAGGAGTAATTCCACGACAAAACGATCACTTTTAAATCTCATTGGTTCCGATTTTCGTAAATTTGAGATATGTTATTGAATGCATAAACATAGTTTTTTATTTTTTAATGTATATTGATGATGATAATGTACAAAATTAAGTACCTGGATGCCAAAAAAAAACAAATTAAAAAATATATTTTTTAACTTTTTCAGGTACACACTTTAATATTAATAATTAATTATTGTAATATAATTAATTCCGTACAGGTACAGCTATTTACTGGATTTTAAAAATAATTATTTTTAAGTTGTTTAAAATAAATAAATATTAAAGTAACACTAAAGACAGTTTCATCGGTCTATGACCAATTATTATAGATTTCAGATTTTTTTTACTTTCTACGGTAATCTCAATAACTCCATGAACTCCTCATAAAATCTCGTACATTTTTGTCAATTTCAAAGCATCCTTAATATGAAATAGTCATTTTTTATTACTTATTTAGTGACATAATAGGTATATAAAGAAATAAATTACGAAAATAACATAATATTATAATGAACAAAGAAAAAGAACAACAGCAAATAATAAAAACAAAAGGAAAGTGAATAATACATACGATATTTTATTTATTTAATATTTCTTTAAGTATTTTTTTTATTTACCTTGGATGAACAATATACAGGCTGTTCCGTCTAAACCCCACTTTAGAAGTATTGGGAGTTGGAATAATTGTATTTATTTGAAAATTGGTATATAGCCATAAACCATTAAGTCCTCCTAAATGAAAATATTTTTAAGATGGCGGCACTTCCGGTTATACCGGAAGTCGGTCTCAACTTTCTTATTTTAAATGGAAAGGTATATTTTTTACTGCGTTTTTGGATTAATCGGGTTATTTTAAGGGAGTTTTCATCAGCTTTCCCTATACCTAAATTTAGCCGTTTATGAAATATTTGGAGTTTTTCAAAAAAATTTTGGATTTGCACCTTCCACTGTAAAAACCGGTAACTCTGCCATTTTTTTAGATTTTAAATTCCTTTTTTTTGGCGTTTGACGGGCCTGGTAACTAACCTCACTTTCGGTTTTTGTAATTTTTATCTTGATAGCTAGAGAAAAAATGACAACAAATCAAAATAATTTACTGAACTTATATAAAAACACGTATTGATGGCATTATTGTTTCGGAAAATCGACGCGAAAAATAAATTTCAACTAAAACTTTCAAATTTCAATCATAATGACAATAAAGCGTGGCTTACATTGACATTTTTTGAACTGACATAAATTTGATGTCCAAAATTCGGTGTCCGCAATTGTATTTAGTATTATTGACAAAACATATTGCAAAATTACTTTGTTTGTTCTATTGACAGCCTACTTTATCTATCTATTAGCGAAAATATTAATACACATTGTAAAAATATTATCAATATAAAAAATATCAATATAATGTTAAGCGAAAGTGGTTACGTAAATATGCTAGAAATACCCAATGACGTCACAAAGCCTACTAGCCGGAATATGAAGGTATTTACCTGATAAACCGAAGGATGTAAGTTCTAATCCCAATGAAAGCGATTTTTTGTTTTGTTTTTTCTCTTTTCATTTATAATAATCAAATCATCATCCATTATCTGGATGTTCTCAAAAAACAATTCAGTTTTTTTTAAGTTAGAATAATTATCAAAACAATGTAGGTATTCAAAACTATTTAGTAAATTGTATAGTTTCCATAATGATATTAAGTTCATTGGTTGTAAATAAAAAAAAATGTGGTAAACTTTACAAGAATAATGTCTGTATTCTTAGAAATACTACCAGCAAAACTGCTCAAAATATAAATTAAGGTAAGTGAAATGTGGGTTAATTTTTAACTCACCGTTTCTGAAAGAGTTAAACAATAGTACATTATAAGCTAACTGGTTGAAAGTACTGGGAATACGGTTAAAGATACAAGAAAAATATAAAGAAGATAGTTGTAGAGAATAAAATTTTCAAGAAAAAATTCGCGAGATGATACCTCTATCTTCAATGGTTTAGATCCTAAAGACGTCCAAGCGACAAATACGTGTCATTTTTACCGGTGGTCAAGAGATAGAAAATTAATTTAAACCTAAGCGGTTGAAGAGAATCTGCTACAAAAGCAATTGAACACTAATTTAGCAAAATATTATGCATAACTTAACAATTTAGAAGAAAAAATTCCCGTTTTTTTTGTAATTTTAACGTTGACTATCCTGCATATTACCGCCCAAGAAAAGTAATATTATTACTTCTCATGAGATTTAATGATGTGTTTCCCAACCTTTAAAAGGTTAGTAATCGGTATATTACATTAGTGATTGTGAATAAAAAAATTACAATTACGTAGATTTTTACAATTCTCAAAAAATTTATATAAAAGCCCTCACGTTTAGATTTAAAAGTGATCATTTTGGCGTGGAATTACTCAAAATCCATTATTCATCTTTAATTGTTAAAATTTATATAAGAAATTGATAAATACTATTGTAGCACGTCGTCTGAAATTATTTTCAAGTATACATACAGGGTATGTCAGAACTCGCGCCTCAGAGAAAAATTTCAAGTGTGATAAGACACTAGGAACATGGAAAAGGTGTTTAAAAAATTCTGTCTTTCAAAAAATTTTGACATTGACATTTTTTATGTCTACTTAATGATACTGATGTTCTTGTATATTTTTTTATGATAATTATTTAGTAAAGGTACAACAATTTTGCCAATAAAAGCCACAATTAACAGAGTTACAATTTAGGATACAACTTCCCTTATTTCCTCTACTAATTAGTCTGTACCAAAAAAACTTGTAAAATTATTTTGCAATAGAAATAGAGTCAAAGTGCAAAATTTAAACTTTCATAACTTCGAAATTTTTGTAGATAGAATTATTTTAACTTTTCTGGCGCATCCTGAATACTCGAAAATTTCAGGCGATGCACTAGTTTAGTATTTATCTATTTCCTATATAATTTCTTAATTTCTTTTGACAATTAAAGATCAATAATGTCTTTACCAACTCCGTGGAACATCTTTCTATCTACTGGTGTAAAAATTTTAAATTGGGAGAATTTTTGTAACAAATTTTCAATTTTCGTTTTAGAGATGGCCGCGAGAAGCTGAAGGAGTTGACGTACGAAGAGAAAAAGGAGATTAACATAAGAGAGAACACGCGATTGGGTCGAGTTCCTTTGAAAAGTTGTGCCACTTTGGAGAAATCGTTGCGAATTTATTTAGATAATTGGCCTTCTGAAGCGGAAGACAATTGTATAGACTGACATGCCAGTAAACAATACAATAATTCGTTACCTTACTGCGTCCTAAGCTAAATCGATGCCTCGGATGGACTGTTTTAAATAATAACTATTTTTTTTTAGCGAACGTCGAAATGGCATTGTTGTATTTAATTTTATAATTGTTGCATATGTGCTCTCGATTTTTGTTATTATATTTCATTTGTTTCATTTAAAAGTTATAAATTATTGTACATCTACTCCATCTTACGATTTGTAGTTTAGTTGTTTTTTGTTATGTCGGATTTATTTACTGGCATGGTTGAAACCCCATTTTGTAATTTCCCAAAATGAATTCCGGGGCCTTTGTGAAGACAAACGTTGATTTTGAGGAATTCATTTTGCTAACGCTTGTCATATACAGCTACTTTGTAAAAATATTTATTTGTGACTGATCAATAAAAACTTTACCTACATACATATTTTTTCATTATTTTAATCACACATAATCCGAGGGCACAGTCACAGTTTCGCTGATAACCGCAAGCCTTGGAGCCTTCTCCCCATCCCAAACGGGCATTGTTGCCAACCCCACCACTTCGTAAGCTCGATCAGGAACTGTGGTCACGGACAAATCCGAGTAGTAGGCGCTACTGGGGGCGCTGGACGAGGGGGCGTCAGGGTCGGCGTATGCAGAATTATTGTAAGCACTACTTCCGGTATTCCCCTCGAGTTCGGCGTAAAGGGCGTCGTCGACGCTGTTGTAAGGGTCCTCCATGTGGGTGTAGTGGTTTTCGACGAATGAAAGGGCAGGGTTTTCCAGCTGGGAGGGCCCCCCTGTTGACCGCCGCGACAGCCAGGACCAGACACCGGTCATGTTGTTGGGGTTGGGGGCGAAGTTCTGGATGTTGAGGGATTTGTCGTCGGAGACGGGGCTGCGTTCCAGGGTGGAGGGAGGGACTTGAGAGACTGAAATTTGATTGCCATTAAAAGCACTTAATTGTGATTTAAGTACCGTTAGCGTTGGGATTTTTCAATCGTTTGCAGTGGAGGACTATGATCATCACTATTGCACCCAGGACTGCGGACACCAGGGAAACTATGACTAAAGTGAGGACCCATCCGAGCTCATTTGAAGCTTCTGAAACAGAAATGTTCCAAACATTAAAAAACCGAACCAGCTCGATCCTCAGACTTGAATATATTAGATTTTTTCACTTGATAAAGTCCATTATTGTTTTCTAAGTGTTAAAATTATATAAAAAATTGAACGTTATTAATCTAGTGCTTCGCATAAAATTATTTTTAACTATACAGCGTGAACCAAAAATAAGTTATATTTATCGAGTGTTCCATTGAAAATTTGTAAGTTATTTAACAACAGCTTCTCAATTTTTATCTTTACAAATACAATTAACTCAAAGAAAAAGTTGTCTTAAATTGTGTACTCTTCTTAGTAGTATATAAATTGTTACTTCTGGGCCAGGACATTTGGCGTCTTAAAAAACAAGGCAAAATCTTACAAATTTGGCTGTTTGTCCAAAAGCAAACAACCGAAAAGGGCCCAAAACCTCTCAAAAATCATTAATTTTATCCACCCCAAAAGTTCCCAAATATGTATAGACCACCAAAAATTGGGCACACGAAAAAACCGTTAAAATCTCTCAAAATAATGGAAAATTACCTCAAAAACGCCCTAAAAAACTAACAAAATACCTTGTTTTTACACACCCCAAAATGGCTTTTTACTTCTGGACCAGGACATTTGGCGTCTTCAAAAAACAAAGCAGAATCTTACAAATTCAGCTCTTCTCCCAAAGGTAAACATTCGAAAAAGATCTAAAACCCTTCAGAAAGTATTAATTTTTATGCACCCCAAAAGTACGAAATATCTGTAGACCACCAAAAATTGGGCACACGAAAAAAACTTTAAAACTACTTTAAGAACGCCCTAAAAAAACTAACAAAATACCGTGTTTTTACATACTCCAAAATAGCTTTTTATTTCTGGACCAAGCCATTTGGCGCATGCATAAAAAAGTAAAAACAACACTAAATCAAGGAGGGTACTACGATATTTGACGTCTTAAAAATCTAGGCACAATCTTAAAAATTTATGATTTCCCAAAAGTACCTAAACAACCGAAAAAGACATAAAAACATGTCTTTACCACAATTGTTGTTATATTGTTTATTACCGAATCTTTGCTATAAAACTATTATACTATTATGGTCTTTGGTTAACTTGATAATAGTTTTTTATTTACGGTCGAATTGAGATATTCGATAGCAAAATTACGATTTCTCATTTGAGTTACTTCATTTATATTTATTTCTGTTGGAAAAATAATTTTTCAATTTTTTTTTACAGGCTATTAAAAGAGGAAATAAGTAGAAAGCTGTATTCTAAATTATAACTATGTTAAATGTTATTTGTGGTTTTTGTTAGCAAATTTTTTGTATTTTTACTAAATAATTATAAAAAAACAAATGCAAGATTATCAGTGTCATTAAATATACATCAAAAAATGTGAGATGTCAAAATTTTTGACATAGAAAATTTTTAAACATTTTTCCATGTTTCTGGTATCTTATTTTACTTGAAATTTTTCTCTGGGGCGCAAATTCTGACACACTCTGTATCTAAAAAAACTATGTTTTCCTCTTTCTAACACTAAGCAAAATCGACCAAAAAAACATTGAAATTAAAAGTTATGTACGAGTAACATAATTTTTTGATTCGTATGTACATATTTGTGTCTAGACTTTTTTAACTTTTAAATTTTCAAAGACTCACTATTTTTTTTGTTTATGTAATACTAAATTTTTATATTGTCGAATTTTACTGGTCCAAATATCTTTACTGAAAATGTATATTTCGTAAGTTGTTTTTTCACTAATCGTTTTAATTAAATTTGTCTAAAATTTGTTAAAAAAAACGTTTTTATAAGCAAATGGAGCACGGCCTGTGTGAGGTTTAAATATTTTGAAATAGATTTAATTTTGTTGACAGTTGATAAAAAAACAGTGTACGTAAACGGGCAATTAATTTTCCGATTTTTGCATAATCGATTTTTTGTGGTTAGAATTGTTTTGGCAAATTTATTATTCTAGTCTCAAGTATTTATCAATTAGTAGAATAGATTAATAGAAATATTAATATTTTATAATTATGGACAGAATTATAGAGGTGTCCCAAAAGTAAGCCGCTATACGTTAACCAGTGATAGAAAATGTCATTTTAAGAAAAAAAGTTAAAAGCTTCATTCGTTAAAAATTATTTAAACTTTTTTCTCAGAATTACCTTTTCTATTACCAGTTAACGTATGGCGGCTTACTTTTGGGACATCTATACAGGGTGTGTCAGAACTCGCGCCCCAGAGAAAAATTTCAAATAAGTCTGTCTGTCAAAAAATTTTGACATTTAATTTTTCACATTTTTTATGTCTATTTAATGATACTGATGATCTTGTATATGTTTTTTTTTATAATTATTTAGTAAAGGAAAAATTTTGCCAATAACAGCCACAAATAACATTGAACAGAGTTACAATTTCGGATACAGCTAATGGCTTGTAGCAAAAAACCTTGGAAAATTATTTTTCCAACAGAAATAAGTAGAGTCAAAGTGCTGCAAAATTCAAACTCTCGTAACTTCGAAATTTTTATAGATAAAATTTTTAAACATTTTTTCCATGTTCCTCGTATGTTACTATACGGCATTTTTCTCTGGGGCGCGAGTTCTGGCGCACTCTGTATAGTGTTTCATTTAAAAAAAAATTGTATTGTAACTTTTGAGACACGCTGTATATTTGAAAATACTTTTAGGCGATATACTAGATTAGTATCTATCCATGTCCTGTATAATTTTTTTTTAATTTACCATTTAAGGGTCACTATGGACATTTGCAACTCGCTGGTATTTAAAAAAAATTATAGATAATGTTTTTTGCATTTTTACAAAGAAAGAATTTTTTGAAACTCTTTCAACAAAACGAGCCCATTTAGTGAACCATAATATCCATCGTTATAAACGTTTCATTAAATCCACCGTTTTTGTCTAATCTTGATGCGTTTAAAAGCACATTAGTGCTCCAAAACTCTACATAATGGTCGTTTTTTCTTTCCCTATTACTTTTAACCCTACAACTAACCAAGTTTAGTATCCGTAACGTAGGAATTCTCCTTTTGCCAAGCCCAGGAGCACAAATCGCAGGTTGTGAGTCCGTCGGGGGTGACACCTTCATCGAGGAATAAAGGTCGAGGAGGTGGAGGAACGAAATTTCCACTCCAGGGACTGCTTTCACTCGTTTCGAGGGGTAAAGAGAGGATTGTGGTCTCATCAGTGACCCCCACGAGCCACTCTCTAGTACTTAAATTGTTGTTTGTGATGACAAGAGACATCTGAAAAAAAACAATTTGGTTATTATTTTTTTAATAATAGATTAGACTCTAGCACTTAGTTTAATTATGATCGATAAAATGTGGCACCCTAACAACATTTGTGAGTTTGTTTGGCCGATTTTCCAAGTTTGGAAATATACAGGGTTGCCAAATTTCGCACCTAAATACCCGTTTATTTGTGACAATACTAAAACATGGATTGGTGGAATAGTCCTAACAGGGCTTGTCACGGGAACTGGTTATTTTGTGACAGAAAGAATTTTTGTTGATTACACAAATTTTCTTCTGGGTTTTCAAGCAGGAATGTTGGGAGTACAAAACATACTTACAGTTTATATGATTTACAAAAAACGCAAACGGATTGGACAAATAATACGAAACATTGTCAAAATCGAAAAAACGCTTTCTGATTTGATCAAAATCCAAATAAGTTACAAATGTGAAGCTCAACTTTTGATAAAATTCATTGTTTTGAGGTGCTTTTGTGCTGTAGTGGCGATGATTTTTGACATAATCAGTGAACCGGTTTATAAAATCAACGTTTCACATTATCACATCAGTTGGAATTACCAATTTCTATTAGATTTGATATTTTTGGTATTTTTTCTAGTCGTTAGACGTTCATACATCTTGTTGCAAAACTACATTCGAGTTAATGAACCAATTCAAGTTCAAGCAAATTTTTCTCAAATGAAAAAAATCACACAAAATTTGGACCAAATAATTAGAAATGTGAGAAAAGCGTTTCAGGAAATTATTCTAGTTAAAATCATAATTGAATGCTTGTGTTGTACGATAGGATTGTATTATACTATTTTAACAGTACCGAAAATGGAGTTTGCACTTACTACAACAGCAGTTTTTTATTTAATAGTCCAAGTTATTGCTAATTCTTCAGAAATAGTGTTTTTTCAGGCTGCAGTAATACAAGTATTGATTTATTTCCACTAATTTGGTCTTATTTTTTACAGTTTTGAATTTATAGAAAGAATTATTTATTGATGAAATTTATAAACTACATTCTCTTTTACCGCAACAAATTTTGACTTATAAACAGGTACTTAGTTATTTTTTTGAGTGTGATTTCTTTATTTTGTTGCAGAGGATTTTGTATGGGCTTAACTGTGACTTAAATAAATTACAATTTAATGTTTGCGGATTTTTTCTTCTAGACTACCCCACAATTTATTCGGTGAGTTGGAATAAACTTTTCATGGTGTTGTCAGAAATTAATGTTTTAGATGATTTCTGAAATATCGACACTTTTGGTTTACACATTTCAGTTTAAAAAGAAGTAACCATCAATTTTTAAAAAAATAGGGGAGCTCATGACAATATTTGAGGAATTTTTGATGAATAAAAAAATTCTTTTTTCTAATACAAGATGGAACCAACTTTATTCGATAGAGCAGAAAAAACTCTACGAGTTACGAAGGTTTTTAAAGGCAAAACCAATCCCTTATTTCCTACAGAAATGAAGATAATTTTAAGATCACTATTTGAGACAGATTCAATTCTATTCAATAAATACAAAATTCTTTTTGTTTGAAATTTAAAGTGTTTCACAGAACAATAAATAAACACTAAAAATTGAAAAATAAATATTAGTAAATATTTTTTTAAAAATAAACTTTATTTAAAAAAATGTTCTAGAAGGTAAAAAAAAATTTCTATCAGAGAACAACATTTCTACTTACAGTTTAAGTTTTTAAATTTATAAAAGGCTTTCATTCTTGTGGTATTATAACGGTTCCCAAAACTTTTATAAATTTTAAAAACTCAAACTGTAAGCAAAAATATTCTTTTCTGATATATATTTTTTTCTATTTTAGTTTTAATAATAATGTTGTTTATTCTTCAGATACGAGTAGAAGTAGTACAACTTCATTCTAAAAATTGGTACTGTGGCACTATTATTTCATTTTTTTTTAATTTACTCGATATAATAATGGTTAGTTGGTGTTTTTTTTTCTCTTATTGGTGAAAAAATTAATGTACCACAATCTTTTTTTGCGTCAATAGAGGGTCTCGCCACCGCTCGCGGCGGCAAGTCACCACACGCAATTTGTTAAAAACACATGGTACACTTTCACTTTAAATTATGAAAATTTAATTTTTCCATGTTCTAGTTTTTGACCTATTTTTTGCTTTATTTGTACAGACAGGAAAATAATGCAATTTAGTCGTAATCTCTTTTTATAAAATAGTTCGAATTTTGCGTATTTCTTGATAAAAACGCACTAAATATGCGCCAACAACGCATTCCAAACCTAATTTAACAATTTTTTCTTTTGTTTTGACACATTTTTTCCAAAATCTTTTGAATTTAGTGAATTTATCAGTAAAGACGCTCTAAATTCGTCCAAATTGACGAAAAAAACACATTTTTGGTCTAATTTTTACCTTATTTTGGTAAAATTGATCTAACTTTGTTAGTTTCTCGGTGAAAAATTCTACCATTAGAAAGATTCATTACATTATGTTCACATTTTGTATTTTTCTCTTAGTATGGAAAGTGGATTAATTATTGTTTTTATTTTTTGTCATTTTTTCAAAATTATACCCATCACCCAGTCTTCCATGTTTTTTTAAGTTTTGATTTAGTTTTTTTATATCTTACTCGATATAATAATGGTCAGTTGATTTCTTTTATCTTATTGATGAAAAAATTAATACATATACCACAAAACTTTTTTTTCTTTCTGATTTTTTTTATATGGGGCTCTTGAGTCGTTAACAACACTTTACGACTCACCATTTGTCTGTTTCAAGTTGGACACAATGTTAAGAACACCAACGGCACATGAAAAAATACAATAATTATACTTTACACATTTCACTTTAAATTATGGAAAATACGCATAATTTTGTCATTTTCTACCTTATTTTGCTAAAAAAATCAAAATAGGTTACACTTAATCTCAAATTATTTGCCTTGTTTTGGATCTTCTAAATTTCTTGGTGGAAAACACTCTAAATTTATCAAAATCACGCATAAAAATAACGCATTTTCGACCTATTTTTTGCCTTATTTGTCATTTATCTCAAAATTTTCTATTCTTTTTTGATAAAATAATTCGAATTTTGCGTATTTTTTGATGAAAATGCAATGAATATGTGCCAACAACGCATTCCAAACCTAAGTTTACAATTTTTTACTTAGTTTTGACATATTTTTGGTCTAATTTTTGCTATGTTTTGGTAACATTTATAACAACTTTGTTAGTTTCTCGGTGAAAAACTCTACCATTGGAAAGATAGTCCGGTCAAATTAGTCATAAAAATAGTGGTCAAATAAAAAAAATTCCGACAGAGCTAAATTTTGGTGGAGACCTTGGGTACACCATTAGAAATAAAGTGTCAAAAGTCCCCATCGATCCCATGTGTGCTAAAAAAGTTCTTCGGGGTCAAAGGTCAAAATTTGATGTTTTTTAGATTTCTTTTGAAAACGGTAAGTTTTATCAAAAAACTAGTCCAGACAAAAAATATAGACCTTAAAATTATCTACAAAAAAGGTCCTTATACTTTTTTTTCTAAGAATCACCATTGCTGAGATATCGCGATTTTAAATGTTTCTGGTACTTATCTTACTTGAAATTTTTCTTCTACTTCATTAAACTTATAAATATCTCGATTCCAATAGAATTAAAAAGAATTTATTTGGTAATACATACAGGTGTCCAAAAAATCACGTATTTCCTTGAAAGGGAGTAATTGGYTAGTCTCCAGAGTACTAAAAAAATGTTGAAAAAATTCTATCTGTCAAAAAATTTTGACATTTATTTTTTGACATTTGATATTTTTTATGTATATTTAATGATACTGATGATCTTGTATATGTTTTTTTATAATTATTTACTAAATGTACAAAAATTTTGTCAATGAAAGCCACAAATAACATTGAACAGAGTTACAATTTAGGATACAGCTTCCTTGATTCCTCTTCTAATAGCCTGTAGCAAAAAAACTTGGAAAATTGTTTTTCCAACAGAAAGAAATATGCCTTTATTAAAAGTTTAAAATTTAAACTCTCATAACTTCGAAATTTTTATAAATAGAATTTTTTTTAAATTTTTTCCATGTTCCTGGTACCTTACCCTACATAGCATTTTTTGGGGGCGCGAGTTCTGGCGCACTATGTATGTGCATATCATATAGAAAGTGACTCCTTCAACTTTTAAAATCGCGATATCTCAGCAATGGTGATTCTTAGAAAAAAAAGTATAAGGACCTTTTTTGTAGATAATTTTAAGGTCTATCTTTTTTGTCTGGACTACTTTTTTGAGAAAAAAATTACCGTTTTCAAAAGGAATCTTTTTGACACTTTTGACACTTTATTTCTAATGGTGTACCCAAGGTCTCCACCAAAATTTAGCTCTGTCGGAATTTTTGTTATTTGAAATGTCTATTTTGACCGGACTAAGATTCATTACATTATGTTCACATTTTGTATTTTTTTCTTAATATGAAAAGTCTTCTATGTTTTTTTTTAATTTTGATTTACTTTTTTTTATTTTATTCGATATAATAATGGTCAGTTGGTGATTTCTTTTAACTTATTGGTGAAAAAATTAATATGCCACAAAACTTTTTTTTCTTTCTTAAAAATCTTTTATATGAGACTCTTGAGTCGTAAACAACACTTTACGACTCAACATTTGTCTGTTTCAGGTAGGATACTGTGCAGAAAAGTGCCTTTTAGATACGATGCGTCAATAGAGAGTCTCACTACTGCCCGCGGTGGCAAGCCGCCACACACAATTCTTAAGAACACCAACGGCACATGAAAAAATACAATAATTATACTTTACACATTTCACTTTAAATTATGGAAAATACGCATAATTTTGTCATTTTCTACCTTATTTTACTAAAAAAATCAAAATAGGTTACACTTAATCTCAAATTATTTGCCTTGTTTTGGATCTTCTAAATTTCTTGGTGGAAAACACTCAAAATCAGTAAAAATAACGCATTTTTGACTTATTTTTTGCCTTATTTGTCATTTATCTCAAAATTTTCTATTCTTTTTTGATAAAATAGTTCGAATTTTGCGTATTTTTTGATGAAAATGCAATGAATATGTGCCAACAACGCATTCCAAACCTAAGTTTACAATTTTTTGGCACACACATTACTACTTTTAAATAATTTACGACCGTTCATTATGGAATTTTCATCGTTCCAGTTGCTTTTTATTTTATCATAAATTTACATAACAATGTCAAATTAAGAAATCAGCAACTAAATTGGCATCTTTCAATTTTTTTATTAAAAAAATGTCACTCACAGATAATGGATAACTTTTCTTTACTTGTTAAACTACACTTTTTTAAATAAGTTGTAATGAATTTACGGTACCGTTGTGATATAGCTTTAAAAGTGCCCCGCAAGCGTCACCTTTTGAATAAGCATAAATCTGATACAATAGAAAATCGCAAGAGTTCTGAAAGCGTCGGTGAAGAGAATGCAAAAAGAGACGGTAAAAAGCATATAATGATGGTTGGTAGCAGAAGGCGCTGGGAACCGGGTAATATTTATCTAAGTAGACAATAGATATCTTCTGTTTTCAATAAAGATAGTGCACAATCACGATCTATTGTCGCAAGTTGAATACACTGCTGATAGTATCCTTTTCTCGGTGTATTGTATTCATCCAGGATTATAATAAGACTCGCCGTTTACAAGGTATCATCGCGAGCTCTCTGGAATGCTGTTCGACAAGTGAAAATACATAAAATTTAATTATAATCGAATGAAAATATGAGATACAAAGGTTTACGTGATATCGCAAATTGGCTGTGGTGTTAGTTTCTGGTTTGGTCAAGATCGTTGATGAAGACATTTCTTTCTCGTTGGCAGTCCAAGGACAACGACGTTAAGCTCCTCCTTCACCGCAAACCACCTAACCGAAATGATAATAGTCTTCCATTGTACGTGTAGCGAGTTTTCACCCATTTATAATACCGATGCGGGTATTTGAAATTATTACGATTGAGTCTCTAACCACAAATCAACGCTTCGGTGATTTTTTTTTTATGAAACACAACTTTGGCAATTAGTCGCTTTTGTTTGTTGTAATTTAATCGTCTGTTGGGTTTCCTAAATGCTACACGCCTGCCGCAATTTTACAAACGTAAATAATACCAATTAAGGATTAATTAATTTAAACAGTTGCTATTTTTCTCTCAAAAAAATTTAAAACGGGAGAAATAAATCATACCGTTTAGTCATAAAAATACCCGTTATAATAAAAATTTGCAGAACAAAATTATTAGTTTATAAAAAAACGTGGGTGCCGGAAAAATAATTTTGCATATACAGTGTCTCAGCGAGTTGAAAAAATCCATTAGTGACCTTTAAATGGTAAAATTAAAAAAAATATGTATAGGACATTGATAGACACTAATCTAGTCTATTGCCTAAAATTATTTTCAACTATACAACGCGTCTCAAAAATAAGTTACAATACAAACTTGTGTTTTTTTAATTGAAACACCATATGTTTTTTAGCGTTTTTGGATGTAGATTTTTATGACTATGTTTTTAAGCTAAACTTTTATTGGTCGATTTTGCTTAGTTTTAAAAATAAGACGGTTTTTTTGACGAAAACATGCACTTTTTAAAATTTTATTACACTAACACTAAAACATCGAGATATATTTTTTTTACTACCTACCGCAAAGAAGAAGGTACAAGCTACAAGGTTGTAACATTTTTTAGTGTGTTGTATTTGCAAAGATAAAAAAATAAAGGCGTTTGTGAAAACTTAAAAAATTTAAATGGAACATTTAAAAAATTATTAAAATGTCTTTCTACAATTATTTACTTTTAGGTGTTCCAAATCTCGTGGCGAACTGACGTTGTCAAAAATGACTGAATTTTGACACTAAATATATGTTTACTATTAAAAAAAATATTGTTCATTGGCGTCGTCTGAAATAATATTTCAAAACCACTGTTATCCTTTAAAAAAATATAATAAGTAGATAGTCGTACATAAGATAAATAATGATGAACAAATTATTAAATTGTTAACGCATGAAAAGAAATTTCAAAAATGATATTCATAACAATCAAAATTTCAAAATTTTTAGAGAAAAAAAGTACGCTCATGTATTTTTTTATCTTAACCAAGTGGGCGCACTCCAAGTGTCTTTTCTGTCACTGTCAGTTCGCCACCAGATATGGAATAAGCTCTATTAACGACTGGATTTTTTTTAACAACAAAAATTTTTTTTTCCGATAAACTACTCACTTTTATACCAGAAAACACGTAGAGTACCTAAGTTTAATAGGTGGAAATTTTAAGAGATGATAGCAGCGATCAGAAGAACCAAAATTAGTTAACTTACATTCTGTGAATGTTTATACTAGTATAAACTACCAGAAACTATACCTAAATTTTGAAATATAGAGGGTTTGTTTTTCAAAAACTATTATGTGTATTTTTTTAAAAAAACTATTCTTATACAAAAGTATAGTTAGCGAAATAAAAACAAAATGAACTTAGCGGCAAAACGTAAAAATTTTTTGCCGCAAGCAAAGACACTGCCTAATTAACATTAAAGTATTTTTAAAGTGAAACTTTTATTTCATTGCCTAAAATTTTTCGTCCATCTATCGCATGTCGCATTACATCCGTGTAGCATTTATATTCTTACTCATTCGTGCAAGTGCTCCACGGTATTTGTGTGTATTGTTCCGAAAAAAAGTTCACTTGCATCGTGGTTTCTTTATAGCAGTTGTTTTCTTCAGTGAAAAGCTTAAAATTTCAAAAATTTTGGAATTGACACCAACAATATTTTTAAAAACGATATTTTCTCTGGTTGTGAAATTTGTTCAAATTTGAACGAGTTAACGAGTCTTCAAACGAAAAAAATTAAACTACATTTTTAAAAAAAGCAAAAAACCAATTGGTTTCTATGTAAGGCAAGATACCAGGAACATAGAAAAAATGTTTAAAAAATTCTATTCATAGAAATTTCGAAGTTATTAGAGTTAAAATTTTGCACTTTGACTATTTATTTCTGTTGGAAAAATAATTTTCCGAGTTTTTTTACTACAGGCTATTAGAAGAGGAAACAAGGAAGCTGTATCCAAAGTCTGTTTAATGTTATTTATGGGTTTTATTGACAAAATTTTTGTATCTTTACTAAATAATTATAAAAAAAAACATATTGTATTTACAAGATCATCAGTATCATTGAATAGACATAAAAAAATGTCAAATATCAAAAAATGAATGTCAATTTTTTTGAATAGCCATAAAAAATGTCAAATGTCAAAAAATAAATGTCAAAATTTTTTGACAAAAGAATTTTTTGAACAATTGTTACATGTTCCTGGTATCTTATCTTACTTTAAATTTGTCTCTGGGGTACAAGTTTTGATACACCCTGTATATAAAAAAGAACACTTCGCGTCATGGAAACATATACGATAATCCCTGTTTTAGATGAGGGAATAGAAAAAAATATGTTATTTAAGGTTGAACCATACCGAATAAAAAAATAATATCATAAATTTTTGATGGCCTTAGTAACAATATAATTATATTAATTAGAATTTTTTTGTGTGTGTCGTTTAAAAATGAATTTGAAAAAACCTCCATTTTTGGTGATTTTATGTTTTTTATATTGAAAAAACTGTACACAAGAATTTTTTGATTTATTTTTGGCATATTGTAAAGAAACCAATTGGTTTTTTGCTTTTCTTAAAAATTCAGTTTCATTTTTTTCGTTTGAAGACTCGTTCAAATTTGAACAAACTTTACAAACAGAGAAAATATCGATTTTAAAAGTATTGTTGGTGTCAATTCCAAAATTTTTGAAATTTCAAGCTTTTCACTGAAGAAACAAACTGCTACAAAGAAACCACGATGCAAGTGAAACTTTTTTTCGGATCAATTATGAAATTGTGAATTGTGAGAAAGACAACGTCAAAATACTGGCATTTAGTAACAGACCAAATTACATTATACAAAAAATCAATTTGCGTTTTTTTGCACTCAAGTGTAATTTTGCTATTTATTTTTTCTATTTCTACTCGTATTTCCGTTTTCGTGCTTAAAATTATGCCATACAATTTCAATTTATTCTATTCTGTTAACTTTTCTAACATATTAATTTCAATTCAATTTATTCAAGTCAAAAATAAAGTTAGCTTTTTATTGGTCTTCCCTTTTACTGCTACTGGCTTTGCAGGAACCCGGGAAATATTTAACATTAATTTTAATAATAAAACAGAAATATAAATTAAAAATTAAAAAATAAGCAAAAAAGTAAAATGAAAAATTGTATTAAAGCTTAACTAAAATTAAGAAAAACTACTTAAGAAGAAAATACAGAAAATAAAACAGTAAGAAAATAACAAAAAGCAAAAGTTCGAAAAATCTATTGTATTGTATTTTTATAGTTTTTCTTTAAACAAATGACAAGAATTGTATAACATTATTGTATTGTAGGAGAGAGATCTTTTAAATATTGCTGCTTCAAACTTTGGTAATCACTATCCTTAATTTAATTTATTTATAAACGAGTTTTGAAAAAACATCCAACAACTTTTTGATACCAGTTTTTGTATTTTTTTCATTAAAAGTACCTTTAAGTCACTTGTAATCAAAATAAAAATAGTCTTTCTTAAAATAAAAATATACCTGTCGACTCATTTTCACCCCGGTCACCGGTTGATTTTCCCATCAACTCGCCAAAATCCTGTCTTTAATCCCGTTTCTGCGTAACGATTCACACTGGTGAATTTTTTAAACCATGATTGACAGCGGCACTCTTGTTCTTTTCGGACTGACTATTCTTTAAATAGACCGATCACATCTCTTATCTGAGATTTTCCGCCACGATTGCCCACAACACATCACCACCAATTGACGAGATGTCTTGTTTATGTGAAGATAAGCGCGCACGTCTTCGTACTCTACTCTAAACTCGAGGAGAACTCTTCGACTCGGCCTTAGTAGCAGAGTTACACGCTGACGTCACCAACAGGTTGTTTCCTTAGAGGTGGCCCTGCTATCATGGGGGCCGAGAAGGATGAACAGCAGAATAAAGCCATAAAAGAGAGAGGAACTGTCTCAAAGCTACAGTGCGATTTCATCTACGTGTGCGATGACTTATGAGTGGTATTTCAGCGAGACTTCGATGATGGAATAAGCCACGAACGCATTTTTTTTTATTTTAAATTAAAATTGTAACGAGTAATAAAGCTTATGAGTCTTATGAGATTCCATTCTTGTTTGGTGTTCATGTTTATGACTGTGCTCCACATCACACATTTCTAATTGCCAAGTGTTGAACATAAAATGCTAAAAAGCTTTCAGCTTTAATTGCTGTGGATAATGTATGACTTTACAAATCAAATTTTGAAAATTGCAGGAAACTGAGATTAATTGTTTCATTCCACGCACTGCAAGAACTTTTTCTCTTTTCATTGTTTTATTAACATTTCAATTAGTTGTAATGTATGGACGTAATACAATAATTGCAGTACTTTGCATTCATTTTTCCGGTAATTATTATATTTGATTAGCAACTTAGTAATTATACAGGGTGATTTAAATTTAATCTCAACTTAACAGAAAATGAATGGTTTTACGGTTTTTAATATGTTAAATGATAAATTAAGTTTTTCAAGGCAAAAACCATACTTACTTCTAGTAAATAAGAAATTTTAAACAAATTTGTCTCGTTAACTTTTTAAAATAATTATATCAGTAGCAGTTTCTAGCTTATTTTATTACAAAAACAAAAAATAAGGCAATTAAAGATATAGAAAAATTTTGTAAATGCAATGTGAAAAAAAAAACGTACGTTGCAGTATGATACAATAAAAACGTTGAATTATAAATCCAAAAGACCAGAAATACTGAGGAGAAAGTTAAAAGATTTTTTGCGGTATAAAGATTCAATGCATGAATTCAACACTCAATTCAACACTTTTACAAAAATAAAACATAAGACAATTAAAGATATAAAGAAATTATTTCAAGATGTTGTAAATGCAATGTGAAAATTGAAAGATTACTTTGCAATACGATACAATAAAAACGTTGAATCAGAAATCCAAAAGAACAGAAATACTTGGGACAAATTTAAAGATTTTTTGCGGTATAGAGGTTCAAAAAAATAAAGACTGCATAAATTCAACACTCAATTCAACACTTTTACAAAAACAAAAAATAAGACAATTAAAGACATAGGGAAATTATTTCAAGATTTTATTTATGCAATGTGAAAATTGAAAGATTACCTACTTTGCAATATGATACAATAAAAACGTTGAATTATAAATCCAAAAGACCAGAAATATTATGAGAAAGTTTAAAGATTTTTGCGGTATAAAGATTTAAAAAAATAAAGACTGCATGAATTCAACACTTTGAAATTAAACAAAAATAATAAAAAGAGAGAAATATGTATGTAGATCGAAAAGTATCTTACAAAATTATTATGTTGGAAGATAAACAAAAATTATAAAATATTGGACAGATTTAGAGGTATCCTAAATCAAAGTATATATTTTAACAAAATAAATGCTTAAGTATGTTTTTCGCAATTTGAGCTACTTTCAATTCAATTTTTCTCGATTTTAACACAAACGTCATTTTAAATAAATGTATTTTAGAAAAATAATTGCTTAAAATATAATTTGAGGCGAAAATGAAGCAATTTGTGCTGTTTCATATCGATTTGGCTCAATTTAATAATAAAATATTGGACAGATTTAGAGCTTGAAATTTGAACGACTAAAAATTGTTATTTTGAACGATAAGAAAATGAAAAAAATATTTTTTTTAGGATTCTAAGATAAGAAATATAATAAAAAAGTTACGAACTGTTAAGGATCAAAATTTGGGAATTATAAATTCAGGAAGACAGAAGTACAAGAAGGTATAAGAAGATATTTTGGGGGAAAATAAAAAAGTAAGAAGTGTATTCGTAAAAAAATCAAGAAATAAAGTAATTAAAAATCTCATATTGGAATCATTTAAGAGTAAAGACAAATGACATAAAAACTAGAAGATGAGCAGTTTGTGAAAGACTAATAAAAATTAAAAAAATGACAAAAAGACAAATTGAAGAAAGTATATAGATAAAAAAGATCTTGAAAAGGTAATGCTGAAATATCAAAAAAACAGAAAGATATAAAACAAAACGAAATAGAAAGATCATTTATTTATATTTTGTTAATCATTGTAAATAAATCTCCAAGTTTCGTGTCTTTTTTTCTGATTTTTGCTTCAAGAGGTCTTCTAAAATAAAGCAATTTGAACTGTTTTCAACCAAATCTTGTTCGACTTTAATACAGAATTCATTCTAAATTAATGTATTTTATAAAAATGATTTTCAATTCTAATTTTAGGCTGAAATGAAGGAATTTTAGATATTTCCAATTGATTTGGCTCAATTTGAAGCCTAAAAACAACCTAAATCAACGTATTTTAACAAAATAAATGCTTAAATAACAATTTTTAAAATATTCTATTTTATTGGACTCCCGACCTCGACACAAAATTGTTTCGACCAGAATTTTAGTTGAAAATATTATAAAAAATTCATATACCCAATCAAAATGATATTACATTACATTACAATCTGTAATTAATGACTTATTAAGAGTCGCTTATTTAATTTAATATTTAATGAAGGATATAGTGGATTTAATGTTTTACAAAATCTTCGAATTTATTGTAATGGAATTTAATGGTAATATTTAGAGCTAAATTGAATCTAAGAAAACTTTTAATTTGTTTTTCATTTTGTAAAAAAAATAACTATTGTTGTTTTTAAATAAATTAATCATTTAGAATTAGGTAACACGTTTTTGTTTCTGGACCATGAATTTGACTTTAATAATGCATTAATGAGATCAGCTAAATATTTTATTTTGACTTTATGTAATGATTTTCCGATATTTGTCAAGATTTGGAATTACAGTGAAGAATATTCAAACGCAACATGCTGTCTAAATTCGATGGTAATAACTGGAGCTAAATTTTAACTATATTATTAATTTATTAAATTGCAGACCCTTTCGTCATGTGGAGAAAGATATTTATTAATAATGGCTATAAGTACAAAATAACAAAATTTTGTAATGTTTTGCTGATTATAATTTACTCCCTGGCTCATTGTTTACAAATATACTACATGTACAAAAATTGTAGCATAAATCTGATAATTAGATATTGCCCAGCAATAATATTTATCCTATTTGTAAGTGAAAAAGGTGTTGTTTTTGGTGTAATGACCGTCTTTTTTGAGACTATTGTTACAACAGTTTTTTCTGCGGCTCTCGAAAAGGAAATTTTTGAAATGTCAGTGTTTTTAGACCAAATTTGTTGGCCTCTTGATATAATAAGGAAGGAGGTTGAAGCAAAGTTTGCGAGAAAATGCCAGATCATAAATATCTGTGTATTAATCGCTCTGCTGCTTTTAATAAGTTCTTTAATTGTCAACTATCCATGTTTCGGAAGTCAGAGAGAGTTTTTCATTTGTATTGCAGTTTTCGAGGAATATTTTGGCGATTGGTCGTTTATTCCTTACTATTGTTATTTCGTAGGAATGACATTTTTATGTTATCATTTCTCAAAAATGTGCTTTCTTTTTGTTTATGGAATTTTAGAAGTACAGTTACAATTTTTTCTAATTGAAGAATATTTCGTACAAATATATGAGATTGATCGTCGGAAAAGTTGGAAATATTTACAAGACATTCGGTATCAAGAAAGAATTGGGAAATCACTACGTCTTTGCATTGTACAGCACAATGCTTTAAAAAAGTTTGCAACTCCTCATTTTAATGCAGACTATTAATAAATTATTTATAGGTTGTTGAAAATGATTGTAAATCTTACATTGACAGGTATGCCGTTTTTTCTGCTACTTGGGGTTCTTTTTCTCATTAGTTGTTTGGGGTTCATCATAAATGTAAGTTTGAAAAACTTGAAAAATTGATAAAAAATAAGCTGTAGTTTGCGGACACCATGACCAATATTTTAAAAATACGAATATTTATGACTGTCATAACCGCTATATACATGACTATATTATTTTGTTGGACTGGTCAACAACTGATAGATGTGGTTTGTAATAAAATATTTTAATTAATTTTACTAATTTTATTTTATTTTAGTCAAACAATCTATTTTTTTCTTTGATTGGAGCTCCTTGGTACTATTGGAATCTTAAAAACATTAAAATTCTTTTGATACTTATAATAAATTGTACTAAGAATGACAACATTGTTTTGGCTGGGATTTGTGTAGATTACAAACTTCTTGTTGTAGTGAGTGCATCTTGACTTGTGATTTTTTTATTTTAATTTTTATTTCAGATTTTACGAATCTCCGTCTCATATGCTCTAGTTTTGTTCAAGCTTCGCAAAAGTAGTCTCGTTTGAAGCAACATTTTTAGCCACTTTTCTTCTAACAAAATATGTTTATTGGTAAAGAATAATTACAGTTTGTTAAATTTAAAACTCAAATAAATGTTGCTTATATTGCTTTCCTTCTTTTCTTTCATATTTAGGTAAATTAGGTACATAAAATATATCCTAGTGTTTTTTTAACATATTAATGTAATAATTATACAGGCTGTTCTGACTAAACCCTACAGTAGAAGTATTGAGTATTCTAACAGTGATATTTATCTAAAATTTTGACGGTTTAGATCTTGTTTAATGAAAATATTTTCAATCCGGAAATGTGTATTAACTTTGTTATTTTCAATAGAAAGTTATGTTGTTTATTGCGTTTTTGGATTACTCAAGTTATTTTCAGAGAGATTTTATCAAACTCCCCTACACATAAATTTAACCGTTTTTCAAGTATTTTGATTTTTTTTTTAATTTGCATCTTCCTCTCCAAAAATCTACCGTTTTTTATTATTTTGAAATCATATTTGGGCATACAAAAAAGAAAGATTAGATCTTTTCTTTCGTGTATTTATAATTGGAAAAATAATTAACAAATCTTTAAAATTTAAGGTTACGTTTGGGAAACTTCAAATACCCTTAACTGAATTTTTTTAAATGAAAGGCTCTAATTTTTCTTTACTAAATGAAAGAGAATTTAAATCTGCATCGATCTGTATCAACAAAATTTAATGATTCCCAAATTATTTTGACTTTCTTCACTTTGATAATCTATTTTTTTCTTATTTAACTTGAAAACTATTAAACATAGGTATAGGGAATGTTAATACAGATCGAACCAGAACTAAATTCTCCTCTATTTAGTGAAGAAAAAAATGGGGTGTTGAGTTAAGGGGTTACCCTTAACTAACCTTTACATTTCTGTACATTTTGGCGGTTTGTTAATTATTTTTCGAATTATGAATACACCAAAGGAAAGATCTAACCTTTCTGTCTCGTATACCCAAATACGGTTTCAACTTAATAAAAAATGGTAGAGTTATCGATTTTTGAATAGGAAGATTCAAATCCAAAAATTTTTAAGAAGGTATAAATATTTCGAAAACGGTTAAACTTTGGTATAAGGAAGGCTAATAAAAAAATCCAAAAACGCAATAAAATATTGCTATTTAAAATTAATAAAAGTTGATATCCACTTCCGGTGTAACAGGAAGCGCCATTTTGAAAATATTTTCATTGTGCAGAATCTAACCGATTATGACTATAAATAAAATTTTAGATAAAGATCATTTTTAGAACTCCCAATACTTCTAATGTGGGTTTTAGTCGGAACAGCCTGTGTAAAATTAAAGGTGCAAAAATTTAAAAACGCTTGAAGTCGCTATTTTGTTCACAACACGCTTTTAAAACCATATACAGCAAACTAGAGGCTGGATAATGTGACTATAACGATCTTGCTCGTCAAAATGGGTGGCGAGACTCATGTACACTTCATTTTTTGTTCATTTCGGTTTCTTTTATTTTTCCTTATTTTTACTTATCGTATACTTAAACCTCCGCAACGTACGTTACAACAAAAAACAGTTAAGAGAACGCTTAAACCTGAAAATTGCGTTTCTTGTCCCACTGCAGGAAATCCAAAAAGCATCAGTTTTTTCAAAATTCTTGTCGGCGACTCCTGCGGTAAAACCTTTAATTTCTTTTCTTCTTTCTGTCACTTCAACTTTACGAGCGTGTCTAAATTGTTGTAAAGTGTGATAATATTCATCATATGTTGAGATTTCCTTCTAATTTCGAATCCTGTGACCGTGCATAACTGTGAATAATTTATTAACCTGTTTGTGTGGGATCCTGGTGTTGCGTTACATTCTTGTGCTCGCTTCCAACGCACAGCAAACCGCTGAATTTATGTCAGATGTCTTCGGGAAACACAAAGACCTTTTTCTATCGACCTAACCGATCCGAAGGTCTGCTCTCGGAGACAAAGGCGCTGTTATTAACTATTTACACGTTCTGCCGGTGACAACCACACGGGTCAAAGTTTGATTTGAAATATTTCCTCATAAATTTTAGTTTGCTGTGCTATATTTTGTTTGTGCCGACGGTAAAAATCAGCAGATTATAAATCAAGACTCTGATTTTAGAATTATGCAAAGTGGTAATGAAAACGTAGAACTTGTATTTCAAGATAGGCAATGTGAGAGTAACAACGATTACTATTACTTGACTTACGGTGTTTGCTCAGCAGGAAAGAGGATGTGATTTATTATACTTGTATTGGTACTTAGGCACATATCATGTTTTATGGGTTTGGGTTTTCATAGGTGTGTGAAAACATAAATCGATTTGTGACTGAGAATCGGTCAAAAAATATCGGATAAGATAGGTTTAAATCGAATCTGAAAGATGTTTATGGAGGTATGTAGCATGAAACAAAACAAGATACAAAATTGCTCGATTTTTTGGACCCAAAAAAAGTAGTACGGCGGCGGCGGAGTAAAAATGAGGGCGTTTAGAGCGTTTCTCAGTTTCAAATCGTTTTAAATTAATTAAAATCCAACCAGTGTACTAATTGCTTGGAAATAAATGCAAGAATGTTAAGCTTTTCATTCTTAATAAGCTGTGAAAAACGAACGGCTAAATTTTTCACGAGAAATATGAGAAAAATATATAAAATTTAAAATCTGTGCTCCGTTTCATGTTTTTCTAAATGCAGCGAATACAGTTAAAGATACAAAAAAAATGTAAGAAAGAAAGTTGTAGAGAATAAAATTTTCTAGTAAAAAGTCCGCGAGACCATACCACTATCTTTGAAGGTTTAGGCCTGAAAGACGTTCAAAGAAGCTCAAGCGACGGATTCGTTTCATTTTTACTGGTGATTCAGTACCAGAGGAACACTTTATTAAACCTAAACTGCTGAAGATAGAAATATGGTCTCGCGGGTTTCTTCGTAATTTATTTTTAATACTGTTTTCGAACGCTGCGAATACAATTAAAGATAAAAAAAGTGTAGGAAACAAAGTTGTAGAGAATTAAATTTCCTACAAAAAAGTTCACGAGACCATATCTGTACCTTCAACCGTTTAGATTTAAATTAATTTTTTGTCTTTTGACCACCGGTAAAAATGGACGTGTTCGTCACTTAAGTGTCTTTGAACGTCTTTAGGACCTAAACTATTGAAAATAAAGGTGTCTCTCACTGACTTTTTTTAAAATTTTATTCTCTACAACTTTCTTTTTTACATTTTTCTTGTACCTTTAACCGTATTTGCAGCATCTTCAAAAATATGAGACGGGGAGCAAGTTGCTAAATGTTATCACCAATAAGTCTGGAGTTATTGGCAATAACCAAAAATCGACCAAAATCTCGACAAAAATCAAAAAAAGTTTCAACTTTAAAATTGATCCATATAACGTTTTTTGCATTTCTAGAGGTCTTAAAGACTCAAAAAAGTGCATAAAACGTAATTGGATCAAGATTTAAAAAATACAAATTTTTTGAGTTATAGAAGGTGGAGCAGTAGTAAAATCGTAAAAATAGTCAATTTACCTTAAGTCGTAAAAACGCTTGAAATATGGTTTTCTAAACGTAAACTTACGCGCTGAACACGATGAAACAACAGGTTAAAATACTTTAAAATGTTAAGAATAAATTTTTGATTGTTATGAAAAACTAGTACTATATGTAAAATTAATCAAAGAATACGCTTGTATAAACCGTTTTGACCTAGGACTCATAGTTTTCGAGATATAATTCTTTTTTATACATTATGTTAAAATATTTAAAAAAATAAATACAGACTCACACTATCGGATTTTGTAAAGACAGTTATCACAAAATTGCAATTAAAAAATATTTGATTAATTTCAATAAGTCATATTTTAGCGCATTGTAAACACAACTTTAAAATGACTACAATTGATTTCAGTAAAGATATTTCACACCAAAAAAAATCCTTCTGTTAATTTTGAAGGTCTGCCATTATTTAGCACTTTTCATTTGCAGGTGACGTGACTTTGTAGGTGTTACAAAATTGCTTTCTTGCTCGCAGCGTTAGATGAATACGTTAAAATAATAAACACATACGGGAATATTATTTTTTACAAATAATAAATATAAAAAAGTGTCCACTCTGTAATTTACAATGCATTAATTTGTCAAAAATGTCATGACATTTATTCAGTTTTCAAAAAAAGCAAACCAACAGTTGTAAAACAGTGTTTTTTAAAAAGAGTAAGTATTTTTGGACCAAGTTTTGAATTGTAGAATGTGTTCGTTTAAATTCCAGATTTTAAGATCCAACAAATACAAATTTCACATTTAGAGTTTTGGTTGTGGTCAAAAAAGACGATTTTTGTCCGATTACATAAAATAAAACCCTAATGTCCTTTAATTTTAAAATCGTGCAACAGCTGGAATGCTCATCAACAAGAAAAAAATTACACGGTATGTATTTCATTTCCAAATTCATAAAACATGTGCAAGTATTAAGACAAAGGGCTGGTTTTCCGAACATTTTATTGCAATCGCAATTCGTTTGGCAATGCAATTAACTCGAATTTCGAACTTTTACAAATGAAACATTTGTTTGGTTTCTTTTAGTGATTCTGAGAAAAATAACTGTTTTTTTGTTTTTTTTTTTCATGAAATAAACAGACATCAAGCGCTTTGTTTATTAATATTAGTAAAGATAGTGCCATTTAAAATTCAAACAATTTAAAAAAATATCCTTTTAGTTAGGCAACCAAATATATACTCGTGTTTTGAGTGTACCCTTATTTTTAAGTCTTGAGTATATACTCGTTTTCAAAATAATGTGCATCGAAGTAGTCGTTGAAAGGGATCATTTTAAGGTGGCAACCATGCGAAAATTCAAACAATTCTAACTTCAATCTTCCCTAAAAAATATTTTTTTAAATAATTGTGTACCGCATGTAGCAAAAAATAATTAAAATTAACAACGTAATTAACATAGGATAGCAAACATAAAGATTTTTGTCATTATTGATGTGATTAAATTTGCTCT